CCTAAGTAGATGGATAGATTGGCGCACGTAGGCGGATTCCATTTGTCATTTGGGTCTAAGCTCCCCAACTTAGTTTTATTTATTCGATTTTCATTCATTATATTTCTTTTGTTTTTAATTTTTATTTAATTATTTATGCAACCCGTGCATTTGCACCGACAACAACAACAACAGCAACCACAAAAGAGGTAAACAAATACAGGTGGTTCGAGCAGCTCAGGTGGCTATTTCTTGTTCTCTTATTTTGCGCAAGGAAAAACAAAAATACGAAATGTTAAGCAGCCAGGGAAATACTCTTTCCACTTCCATTCAAAAAAAAAGCGCCCACAAAATGCTGAATCAGTCCCCTTGTGAGTAACTGTTATCTTATCAACAAATACACTCAAAAATAAGTACATAATACTCGAAATAAGTACTCAAATTCTTCAAAAACCAGCACACAAATTCTTAAAATAAATTACAGACAACGATGGCAAGTAAATAAATTCACATGACTGGGAAGAAAACGTGACGTTGCTTAAATACCCTTTATATCGAAATATATACAAAAGCCCATGTTCGTGACACTGCAAGAAAAGTGTTAAACAATCTTATCAAATTTCACTAGAATTTAAAAACACTCCAGTCTGGCAGAAATATTAAAAAATAAAAGAAAACAGAATCGTGTTAGAGCCTAATTATCTCCCTAAGGTGTACAAATAATATTATATTGATTTTTAAACTATTTACATTTATTTAAAGTTTAAATTAAAATTTTGATTTTTTCTCTTGCCAAAAAATAGTATCTTCTATGAGGCACTGACCTACACACACATGCCCCTTCAATTTGATTGCGCAATTTGCAACAAGAAGAGCAAAAACAAGACTGCAAGGTACATAAATATAAGCGAAATGCACTGCAATTAGAGAAACTGCAGGTGGTTGGCAGGGGGAACTGACACAGTTGCGGTCAGAATAATAGCAATCAATCGATAAATAATAAATATACAAAAAAACAACTAAGGCAGTAAATCATGGACATTTAAAATATGTTACAATATGTTAAATACAATCATTTTAAATTATAATAATATTAAAAATAATAAAAATAGTAATAAAAACTACATATTTAAGAGGTGTAAAATATTAAAAATTCCTTTACAACTAAAAAAAAATTAGAGTAATATTGATGAAAAGTAATATTTATGAAAAGTGCTATTATTTTGACCCCCACTATAAATATGTCGGGTCTGTGGGCCAGGGGGGTTGTTGTACTGGACCGGCTTCGCTAATTAGAAGCCCAGAACATCCCGCCAATAGACAATAACCAAGTCCCTCCCCCCTTTCCACCTGCCTCCCCAATCCTCCACTCGCCACTTTTCAAATTCTCCACGACGTTTTCCGCCGACAGCCAAGGTTAAAACTATAAATAGATATGGAGAAAAATCAACAACAGCAACAACAACAGCAGTAAACAATCTACAACAAAAACAGCGAGTTGCAAAATCTATTTTTAGCTGACAGCAGCGAGACGCCGACTGTAAAAAGAGTAGATGAAAAACTTGAAACGAAAACAAGACACGAAAAATAAACTAATACGCTACCAAGTCGAACTTAAAATGCTCTTAAATCAACAAAAATATTTTTTTAAGAATCATTAATATTTTAATCATTAAAATCCATTTATTTCAAGAAAAAAGTTTTTTTCAATAAACCTACAAATGTTAATAACCTTATGAGCAGAGCATTTGAACTACTTCTACGATGAAGATCCAGATTAAATAACCACGAATGATAAGTTCTTTGGCAAACAATTTAAAGATAGCTGCGCTATACATAGAATAGATTTCATTCATATTTTTAGCAGGCATAAAATTACTCATTATCACAGAATCTATCAAATTTGTTTGTTTGCTAGGAATAATAAATAGCATTTGCATACCATAAAGCGATATCCTTGGCCGATAAATGTCTAGGTATTTAATTGGGCTTGTAATAGCATTAAATTACCAACCACTTGCGATATTTACCATGTATCTCACAAAGAATAAGGTATAATAAATTAGTAAACCCAAAGAAAAAAACCGATGAAAAGACGCTGACCCGAAACATTTTCTCGATTCTGTTGCCTCAGCTGGCTGTTTTGCTGTTTTGGCCCAGTTTAAAGCTTTGGCAGCCGCGGTAATGGGTCAAATTAGTCGGGTGTTCGGTCTTCTCTCCCCTCGGAGACCCCCTCCCAAAGTCGAATGGAACCGATTCCGATGTTTGTACGTGACAACGCACACACGCACTCTCCTCTGCGAGAAAAAAATAACCGAAAATAATACAACAAAAAACACTCACACGCACTCTTGAGAAATCAAACTTGGCGACTGCGACTACGTCACTACGAAAAGTTTCAAACTCGTCGCTTTTCCCCCATCCTCGATATCGATCCACTGGATGCAGCGTTTTGTAGCATTGCACAGAGAAAAATATTATTGGAAAATCCTCAATTCGAAACTATGATATCTTAATATATGTTTGTACTTTTAAGAGTAATTTTTTTAAAAAAGAAAATCATTTACTTACGGAACTCTTAGAAAAAGATTACCCATCTTAACTTTTCTAAAAATCATCAGATGAGAAAAAAATTTTTTTTCATAAGGTAGTTTTTTTTTATATTTGTTATAAGTTATAACATAAGTAAATATATGTATCATCTGTAACTAGTCAAGAATGACGAGAAAGCTTTTTTTTAATTAGTTTAAATATATTTTGACTTCTAGTTAAACCTACACATAATATCGCTCGAATGCAATACACCCCGCCTAGTCAACTATCAATGGGTATAAAAATTCCACATTTTCTCTTTTGTGTTGTAGTTGCACTACTTAAGGGCCGCGATAGTTTATGAGGGGGCACACGGGGTCTTTGGCCATCTGATAATACGATTAGCCTGTTGTGAAGCACTGCATTGTTTGAAATTGCAAAAAAAAAAATAGGAAAAATCAAGAGAACTTGGGTGGGGAAAAGCTCGTTAACTAATGTGCGTGGTTGTTGACTCTGGCTGCGTTTAATTACTGCAGAAATTTCAAGGTAATTATGTGTCAGTTGCGAACAGGTCCAATTACTCTGGAAATTACGTTTTTTTTTCTATTTGCATTTGTAACCTAAAGTTTTCTCTTGGTCCCAGAAAGTAGTAGAAAAAGGTTCACTAAATTTATCTTCGAGTTGTGAACAGTGAATTTAATATGACCGACAACCAAACACGTCACTATTAAATATTTGCACAAGCGAAATATTCTAGCGTTGCTATAAATATAAATATCATCTGTGCTCCCATTTTCAAAGCGGGCAATTTTATTTTTAGGTGCTCCGAAACTTGCGATTTTTGTATCAATCATTTCTCTTGGTTCTCTGCAATTTCGCAAAGAAAATCAACAATGGAACTACTATATTTTCACTTTTAGTATAAGTGAGAAAGCTATGTATGTAAATAGCGGAAGCCGGAAGGTAAAGAAAATGATTTCGAATTTTGTGTAGAAAAAATTTGTTTCTAGGCAAGGGTGGGGCAAAAGCGACCTGGGGTTTCCATCTTGTTATTTGATATAATCGAGACCAAATACCATATTATTCTGACTGTGTAAAGAAAATGCCAATTGACAGGCATTTTTTTTTCCAGTGTTTGTAAGAACCTGTGCTTCTGATCACATGTCCCAGCTGGGATCCCGGGACTCGGGATCTGCCCAATAAGCAATGTCGAAAACAAACCATTAACCAATAAGCCATAAACCCTCACATCAATCAATTTACCTGGTTTGTGTGACGTATTGGCGAATCGGTTCAATGGGTGCTTGAAGTGGGGTTCAGTGATGGTTCTGTTGGTTCGTGACAATCAACTGCGACGTTAGCAAAACCAAACTAATAATGATTACAATCGCGGTACCCGAAAGTACCATAAATCAGCCTCACGAAGGATACCGATATAGCCCCCACGATCCCAACAAGGATCGAAATATGAGCTCAATCGCCGTGAAATAGATAATTGTCTAGATAATTTGCAATGCACATTGTGCGAAAAGAGCTCCCATACTCACCACGGTTCAAGAAGACGCGAGAGAGGAGCAGGAGCGAGAGCCCCAAAACGAGATTTCTCTCCGAAATAAACCGGCTTCGGTTATAAATAATTCCGCTCTCCGTTTATTTATCTTTAGACCAAGTCCCTCGGGTGTCTGAATCTTATAACTATTCGTATTTATGTTATTTTATTATTCACAAAATCCGCAATAAACAATACAGTTGCGGTTAAAATAAATAGCATTGAGAACGGTTTTATTTTGTGGATACTTTTCTGCAATGCAATCTGTGTGAATCATTTCTGATTGAAAATCAAGGATTTTAATAAATAGCCACAAAATAAAAAGATTTACAGCATAATAATTGGAAAAGGTAAAAATGTTAAAGATATTTTTTCAGAAAACTTATATTTTGCCAGTACAACATTACAATAAATGAAAAACTGATCCATGCTGGTTTATTTACAATTTGTGTAAAAGAAGACATTAATAAGGTGGCGATGTAAGCACGAATTTCATGTTTATTTTTGCCGTCTTCGATGGGCTGTAATGCGAATGGGCTGTTACAGCGAACAGTAGTTGTTGTCCATATCAAATTGGAATTTATAGTAGTTTTAAATGTTGCTAATAGTAGTATTTAGTTATTATTATTTTTGTTCCACACCGATTTCTCTAGTAACATTTGTGGTTAAGTATTTTTAGTGATAGAAGTACATTTTTTGTTACTATTTAACTTTTTACCCCATAAGGCTTGTTTTCAAAACCAGAAAAAATAATTGTGCCCACTATGCTGTAGGAAATCCAACATTACAGCGTGCTCTCTCTCGCACTGTTAACGTAAAGAGAGCGTAGCGAAGCCGAGAGCGGAATGCAGCGGAGCGAGAGAGCGCAGTCGGCAGAGCGGCGGGCAGAGCTCGGGCAGAGCAATATAAAGCGAGTGGCCCGAAAACATTTGTATTTGTAAAAAGCAAACCGACGAGCGGATAAGGCGAAATACCAGAAAAGCAGCAGCGAAAAACACGAAAAGCCAGAAACAGAAGCCAAAACCCAAAAACCGAAACAACTCGAACTTCGTGCAGTGTGGCTGAAAACTGAAAACTGAAAGCCGAGAAAAAGCAAAAGAAACAGAAGCACAGAAAAAGAAGCGAATCGAAGCGTAAATAAACAGAGACAAATTAAAGCGAACGCCAAAAAGAGGTTTTTCCGGAAAACGCGCGGAAAAGTGAATTTCAATTTTTTTTATTCATTGGTCGAGTGAAAGTTTGGGGGCCCACGCCCACCTGCGCCCACAAACCCACAAAATGAACCGTTCGAACAGCTTTGTGAGCTCCCTGAAATGGTGGCCCCTCCAGGGGCACAACAACCAGCCGGCGGCAGCGGTGGCTCCACCTACCGGCGGCGGCGGCGGCGGGTACTCCCAATCGGCGCCCAGCTCGCCCACCTCCAACTGGCCGCCGCCACTGCAGCAGCACCAGAATCCCACCACAGGCCAGCGGCTGCTGCTGCCGCCCACCGCCCACCAGAAGGTCGCCGGCGTCACCTTCGGCAGCAGCGTGGCCGTCCAGAAGCTGCGCGAATCCAAGTGGTTCAAGCCCGAGGAGCAGCGCATCTTCTGCGCCGTCGTCGAGTGCGGCTTCGTCGTCGAGATCCGCAGCAGCGCCGCCGCGGAGGCAGCGGCGGCCAGTGCAGCAGCAGCGGCCGCAGCAGCCGCCGACCGCGACGACGGCGACGTCGACGCCCTGGAGGAGCTCGACTGCGCACCGCCCCTGCCCACCATCGCCACCATGAGCACCACCACCCCACCAATCCACATCCAGAACCACAGCCCGAAACCGCGGCTGGTCATCCCGCGCAACGGCAGCAGCTTCCTGGAGACGCAGGACGAGAACGAGACGCCAGTCGCCTCCTGGTACGGCATCGTCCTCTGCAAGGTGGCCAAAGGTGAGTGCAAAGTGTGGGGGGAAAAAAAATACAGAAAAAAATCAAGGAGAAACAACCTACAGAAATACACAAAAAAAAGTTCAAACAGAACCTACTCTTTGAGCGAGAAAAAGAAACATCAACAGAAACACTCAGAAAAAATCAACTAGAGAAAAAAAACATCAACAGAAACACCCGGAAAAAAATCAACTACAGTTCTTCATATCTTTTTGATATGAAAATAATATTCAACCATAAACTAAATGCGCAGGTCAATTGCATATTTACACTTCTCATATCTTTTTGATAAGTAAATAATATTCCATTAAAAATTAAATGCGCAGGTTAATCAAATCCATATCTATTTAATAAGTAACTACTATTAAATCAACCAAAAATTTGGTTAAAATGCCATTAACAACAAAACAAAACAAAAAATAGGTTAAAAAAGCTTTTTTTTTTAATTTTCATAAAAAATTTAATTTTTTACTATACAGAGATCATTTTATGATTAAGTGACAAAAGGTGTATAACTTTGTTAAAGTATTTAGTAATTTTTTAATTCTTCAAGAATTTGTATAAAACTATGAACTCTTAGCTAAGGGAAAATAATCGCGACTTTACGATTTTAGGTTGAGGTAAGGGCAAGGTAAAACGGTCGTATATTTGAGATACGAGAAAAAGGGGTAAAAATGTTTACGCTTACGTACTCTGACGAAATCCGCATCTGTAGTAGAGTTATCTATTAGCTAAATACATATGCAATCCATCCACTTAGCCAAGTACTAAATCAGTAGGTGCAAATAGCCTTAGTTTAAACTCCCCTGATCACATGCATTTTTACTGGGATTTATTATTTCTTTGTGAATTTCTTTCGTTATCTTTTATTATCATGGCTTGACTAATGCAAAGGCAATTGTGTATGGAGTTGCAGAAACAAAAATGTTAATCCCCCACGTAAATGATATAGGGTTTTAAAATGTTCCATACAGAATTCTCCCGATAATCCCCAATAATTTTGGGTTTTATTTTTAACTAGTTGAGGCCTCACTGTAGTTTCTTCTTCAAGAAAACCTACCAAACTTTTTACCTGATGATTAATCACAAAACTTCAGACGTCAGAGAGTCATTAAGCTAATCTATGGGTTTTTGGGTGAGAATGTTGGAATTGTAGAATGTCATTCAATAAACAAACATCACACACACCTACAAACATGGCTGTATATTATCTAATCGCAAAGAGAATCCAAGAACAACAATAACAACAAGGAGCTTATCAAATGTGACGCTGGCAGCGCAGTCGGCGTCGGCAGAGGGCATTCACAATGCTGCGCCGACAGATGCTAGAACATTCCAAACTTTTCAGCAAAAAAAAAGAGAAAATGAAAACGAAGTTTAAACAAAAGAAACGGAAAAAAAGTAAGAAATAAAGGCAACAAAAAAGAGTTCGAAAAATGTAAACACTTTTGCATCATGTGCCTGAAGTCACGCACATTTCCCACTGTACTAAAAGCACCCACAGTGGAGTACAGTGGAGACGCGCTACAACTGATAAGTGGTTAAAGCAACAAAAACTGTGAAGTGAAGGAGGGAAAGGAGGGGAAGGTGAAAAGTTGAAAGCGAGCGAGATTATGATTATGGATATATGTATTTATGTATGTGTGGTTGCGCAGCCGGGTCTTCACTGTGTGCGTGAGTTGGGTGGCAAGTGGTGAGTTGGCTGCACAGCCACATCTATAACCCACCACGCCCACACGATTGTTGCATCTCGTGAGCCGGCCTATAACCCACCACACGTGCGGCGAACGAGAGAGAAAGAGTTGTGCATTGGCATAAATATATGCAACAGCCAGGGTCACAAAAATAGCACATAATTTAAAGATATAAAATATAGATTATAATATTAAAAAAAATTTTTTTTTTTTAAATGATAAAATAACAAATAACAATTTTAAATATAACAAATATTTATTATTTTTATATTAAATTTTGCACCTGCAAATTAACCGAAAAAATAATACCAAAAGAGACAATGATAGATTGATTTGATTTGATTGATTCCTTTATAATGGGTCTAAGAATTTAGGTTGCCATGTGCGTTGTTCGATTCACCTTGAAGATAATGACTGACCGTGCCTGGAAACCATTATTTTAACCTGATTTGTATGTGACAAATATGTGCATATGTAAATATTCGTGATAATGGGGCTTTTCTGGACAACCGAAGAGCTCAGTAGTGCAGTGCTGTTTGTCCAATCAATAAAACGCTGCATTCTGGCGCTAATCGGTGGGTTTCCATGGCACTTGGCCAGCCACTGATTATTGTCCAAAGGCAAATTGCCCGCACTTGTCCGATTACTATTATAGTAATTTATACTATATATACGAGCTAAAGAGTCCACGAATCGAAGCTCTAAATTGCGCATGCGTGCTTATCAACGATATTTACAATGGCCCCATACATATGACAAAAAGACTCCTACCCCAACCACACCACTTCACCAACCCTTTCTTTCGAATCTGACGGGCAGTATCAAGTTTGATTGATTATCTTGCATTAGAGAGCATTATTCAAAGGCAAACATGCATTAAATCCGTAAATATATTGAGGGGCTCAGGTGACAGGGCTTCTTTTTTTACAGTGATCACTTTAATTACAAAAACTGCTACCATTCATTATAATTTCAACTTTTATTGTGATTTAAAAGAAACTTTTTTACTGTACACCATTCAAAAGTTATTATAATTTAAGATGAGCTCACTGAAAATGCATTACCATTTTTTTTCGACCCAAATCCAAACCTTTCTATCTGTTTTTGATGGAGTGTAATTAGTAAGATAATGGGAATTATGGGAATTCGCTTTCGAAAATACTGCGAACGAACAACAATCAAACAACTCATTCAGTCAGCCACCCACTGAATGATCTAAACAGCTTTAAATGCCTGCAAATTGGATGGACATGGCTACAAATGAACGTCAACATATAATAGTATTAAGCCGAAAAATGCCATTAGAGCAGGAAGAAGCAGAGGCGGCTGAGTGTAAAATACTAAGGAGTGCTAATTATTGCATGACAGTTAAATCACAAACGCTATAACGAATTGTGTAATCAGCAATTTGAGCAAAAGAGTTAAGCACCCCATGATCATCATCCTGGTTGCCTGTGATGTGTGCCATTATGTCACCCGAATTCGGAATGAGGAGTTCCTAAAGCTACATATAATACCAGGAAAAACCAAAACCTTGTTTACGAGAAAATTTCATAACCATATATGGTTTAAATATTTTTTCACCTTGTCGCTCACAGTTTATCAATATTCTTGGCAGGTCTGTGAAAAATCTTTCGACTGATGATCGATAATTGAAATCAATTGATTTTAATATTAACTGAATTGAGTTGGGGCATTTATGCATACACATTCACAAAATATTGCAATTGCAAGCAGATGCACCTGTTCTCTGGGGTTTCTGGTAAATTGCCAGGGAAATTGAAATCCCAAATTGCCTAAATTAATGTTTATTTCTCCTAATCCCATTCGATTGCAGACAATAAACCCAAGCCCGAGACCATTGAGATATTTTCTGTGAAAATACGCGAGAATGGCACATACAAACTAATCAAGATGCAGCTGGCGGACATTTGGAGCCACGGATGGGAGTTGCGCATCAATAACTTCGCCGACAAGGAGAAGGTGCCGCACAACGAAAAGGACATTCGCAATCAGGTGGGTTTGGAATATTAAAAAAAAAAAACCTTAAAAAACTAAGTAAATTATTTTAAAATAAATTTAAATTTAAGCCAAGGGATTACAATTATGTTATAAGGTTTTTAAACCTATTTTTTAAGGGAAAATGTAAAGTAATTAATTGGTAGAACAAAACCAAATTAGTAAATTACTAAAACAAATGGAAATATTAAACAAATTTTAAAAATATTTTTTTTTTAATGATATGAATACAATTTTAAAAGTTATGTGTGCAATATGGAATCGACCTGTCATAATTACTCCATTACTTATATCGTGTTTAAATTTAATATATTTACTTAAATTTTTGTTATATATTACATTTTATATTATATTTTTTCAAAAAAATTTATTTTAAATTCTTATGCCAAAAACAGATGATTTATCCCTTTGAAATAATTGCATTTCTAAAAAGCAGTTTAGATTTTTTATAGATTTCTTTTAAAATTCTTAATTAAAAAATCAGCTGATTAACCCTTTTTGAATCTTATTTTCAGGTGTCGGTGGCGCGCAAGGCCAAGCAGAGTCTGTGGAACAATAACAAGCATTTCGTCTACTGGTGTCGATACGGAAGTCGTCAGCAGGATCTGCGGAAGCGACAGGTAACGACGAGTGCCAATCACGTGCTGCTGCACCTGATCAATTGATAAGCGGAGCCAGCCGGCGATAAAAAAGCAAAAGGCCCGGAGCAAAAAAAAGAAAAGAAAATGAAATGCTAATGAAACGCCGACACAGAAACCAAAATTTGCCACAACCACCTCCTCCTGCTCCTCTTCCTGCTACTCCTGATCCTCCTGCTACTCCTGATCCTCCACTACCTCCAAAAAAAGCCACAAAAAACCCCCCAAAAAGCCACCAACCAACCACATGCATTGATTGTTGTAGTTGCAGCAGCTAAAAGCTATGAAAAACAGATGAAAAACCTAGAAAAAAAAGAAAAGAGCTATGTAAAAACACAAAAACCAAACATACTGACCAAAACCATACACTCAGAACACTCTGCATGCACTGTGAGAAAAAAAGACGGACTAAAAAGAACGCATTGAGGAAACTAGGGCACCATCATCACCGCGACTCTTTGGAAATCATGCTTGCTTTGCTCATACATTTATGTATATTCGCCAGAAACAAAAAGAAAGAGAGATGCTAACCCTAGATGAGAATTTCCACAATTTAACCCGTAGAAACTCTGAAAAATGCATCCACAACACCAACACCACCCACACACACACTTTCCCCACATTTCGTTAGAGAAACGATCGATCATCTTGCTACAGTACTGAAAAAGCATTACTTTTTGTATTATGTATATATCTTTTTATATACCTATATATTTCTGTGAGACTGCAAACTGCCCATTTAATGTTACTAGCGAAAAATCTTGGGCCTGCTTTCTGCGATTTTCGATTTTCGTCAAAAGAGAGATATTTTTCTTCTTGATTTTCTTTCATTTAGATTTTCCGGATTCAAGGAGCCCACATACGTTGAGACCTTGTGTGTGTGTTCTAAGCAAGCTCGATGTTTTGGGTAAATTGTACTGGATTATCTGGCGGAAAGGAAAGAAATTGCAAATTGGCGAAAGTGAATTTCGGAATGGGGCTCGAGATCGATCTCTCTGTTTTTCGATTCTTCCGGCACTTTAATTCCGGCCAAGCCTTCTCTTCATCATACCATATATATACATATATATATCGCCAAGCTGAGAATACGTACGTATTTCTGTTTGTACTCTGTGTCTTACAATCGAATCTATATTGCAGATGTCGGAGTGCGTGAAATGGGGCAGCGTGGGCATGAATGCGGGCATGCTGTTGGTGCTCAATAATCGGCAGAAATGCTATTCCCACTCCAAGTAACTCTAGTAACTCTCCAACTAGAAAGCCCCTCTTGATTTTCCATTTCAAGCATATATACCTATACCTATGCCTATATATATAATATATATTATATAGAGTAGAGACCACAGAACGATTTTCTACAGCAAACAAGTATTAAAGTAAATTCGGATGATAAGATAATTTATGGCTTAAGAACGCCAAGGGCAGTGGAAAAAACCAAATGCAAATATACGTATTAAGTGCAAAGATAGCCAAGAAAATTTAGATCAGGGCGACGGAGGGCTTTTTTGGCAGTATTAATTATTGAAACGAAAAAAATTCAATTAAAATATTTAAAAGAAAAGCAGAGCAAAGCAAGAAATCCAAAACATGCGTCATACGTCACAACACTACTACAGTCCCGCCCATGATTGTAAAGCTGCTGCAACTCGAGCCACAATTCGAGCTACAATTTATCAAATACTTTTGTATTTACAATTGTCTATTTATGACACAGAACGAGAGAGAGAGACACACAACACACACTGTGAAATTCGAAAAGACTTATTAAATATTTGTTTGTTTTTTTTGTCCTAATTTTTTGTTTTTTTTTCCCATGTGATTAAATACGTATACATTATTATATATATTTATACATTGTGAATGGCAAGCATATACATACATATATATATATTGCAAGGCAACATTTTTGTTTTCTTTGTTATTTAAGCGTAATTAAGAGATCTATTATATACCATATATGCAAGCCCGAATCAAAAAGGGCGAAAATCAAGCGAAAACTCTACGTAGCCAGCATAATAATTTAGCATTGTAAAACAATCAAAACATTCGAAATGTTTCGTTATGTATTTAGCTCTTTATGACCGACAAACCCCAAGACGACGACTCAGAACCGAAACAGAAAATCAGAAAAACAGAATACCCAAGCAAAAATTACAAAAATATTTTTGTACATAGGGAAACTGGACTGAAAAAAACGACGAACTCTTACAGTACGAAAATCAAATGAGAAAAACGTTTACAAAATTACAAAAGAAAATATAAAAAAAGTAAAGTAAAAAACGGTAGTTCGTAAGCTATATATACATTATTACTTATTTTGTTTAAGTTTTGTCTTTTTTAAGCAATTTATAAAATATTTATGGTAGTCTTATATACATTTCGACAATGTGAGGAAATTTGAATATGAAACGTTTGTAAAATGCTTTATATTGATATTATTATATTATTATTAAATGTTTACCAACGGATAAAACAAAATGAAACGAGTTCTTTGGAAAAATTGGGCATCCTGTTAAGGAATAGCAGGTAAATATGCAACGTAAGTCTCAAGTTTAAGGATCTGTGTTTATTTCTTTAATAATACTTTAACGAGCTATTAAATGGATCGCTTCAGAATTATTAAATGATACTTCGGTACACACCTTGACATTGCTAGCGATAGTAAATGTACCTCTATTAATCGAGTAGATAAAAGTATCACCTTCAACGTTAATTGAATTGCTCAGTTTCTGACCGACCCATTTTCATTTTTATCATTTTTCTACCCTTTGAAGATAAGCGAATGTGAAGTTAAGCCAGAAAATAAAGTAGGGCTATGATTTTTAAATAATATAAACATGTAGCTGTGATTTTAAAACCTAAACTTTCTATATACAAAATTTCAATATTTTTAAATTAGTGGACTTTAATTAACGTTTTAAGTAAGAGCTTGAAAAATATCGACAGTTTGCTATTTCTCGATTATTAGTGGGTGTTTTCACTTAAAATCATCGATATTATTGAATAAATTTTGTGAAAATATCACTAAAATCCATAATTTTTAGGCTCTATTTTGAGGGGGTTTTGCTTGAAGTTTTAGCCTTATTTTAGAGGGACCTTTTCATCCAAATCAGACATACTATATTCTTATCTTTTGATTTCTTGAACACTCACCTCTCGCAGCAGTCCGAAAAGCACGTCCGTGGAGAGGGATCTCTCGTGGGCCTCGTCCATTATGATCGCCGAGTAGCTGTCCAATTCCGGATCGCGCAGACTCTCCCTCAAAAGGATACCGTCAGTCATGTACTTGATGACCGTGCGCTCCGAGGTGCAGTCCTCGAATCGAATGGCATAGCCCACGTCCTCGCCTGAAAGAGAAACGAGTGGGGATTATTATAGGAAACAATTAAGGAGCTTAATTTTAAAACAAAAGTAATATTGTACTATTATATAGACAGAGGGACAAGTTTAAAACCAAATAGAGACAGGATTTAAAAAAGAAAATTATCTGATGATATGCAAAAACGTATTTTAGGCATTGGATTCTTGGCGAATTTGGATTAAAAATAAATTGTTATACAAAATTCTTACTTAAATTGGATGCTTAGCGAACTTTGATCAATAAGAAATGGTTCTATAAAATACAAAATAAGATTTAAGTTTAAAAAAATATAGATTCTTTGTATCTATAATCAATCCTATCCTATAATGAGTGCAGTTCTCCTACCCAGCTGGGTGTCCATCTCGTCGGAGACGCGCTTGGCCACCGACATGGCGGCCACGCGACGCGGCTGCGTGCAGCCGATCATGCCGCGCCGGCTGTAGCCGTCCTCGTGGAGGTACTGCGTCAGCTGCGTCGTCTTGCCGCTGCCCGTCTCGCCGACAATGATGATGACCGAGTTCTCGCGGATGACGTTGAGCAGCTCCTGGCGCGAGGCGAACACGGGCAGGAAGCGGCGCTGCTCGGCGATGGTCTTCTTGCGCGAGAAGTCGCTGGTGCCGCCCGTCTCCTGGTCGCGCATATGGTCGGCGAACTTCTGGTCCTTGCGATAGTCGGCCGTGTCGTTGTCCTTGTCGAAGCGCGCGTCCTCGTCGTCCTGCGGCCGCTGGACGCCCATGATGTTGCCCAGCTTGGTGCCGCCCAGCTCCCAGTGTTTCTTCTGCGCCTTCCTGCGCTCCTTTTGCTCGCGATAAGTGCGCACCAAGGCGCTGCCCTTCCGCGCCAGCAGCGCCATATCCGAAGTGGGATCCTTGACGGGCACCACAGGCTCCGGCTGCTTGGTAAAGACAATCCGCCCGTCGAGAAACGGAGGTATGATGTGGTGCACCAGCAGATGCACTCGCTCCAGCGCCTCCTCATCGAAATCGTCGTTCACGCTGATCGAGGTGACCACGCCCGAGGTGAGCATCCTGTTGCGCTCCCACAGCTCGTTGTCCCGATTATTCTGCCGCTGTTGGGCGCTGATTCTCTTGGTTCGCTTCTGCTCCAGCTGCTCCTCGCGCTTGCGGAAATACTCGGAATTGGCCCCGCCGCCAAAGGGATTGTTCTCGTCGTCGTAGCCCTCGTCTATGTTGTACCACTCGCGATCCAGGCGCCGCTGCTCCTCCTCCCAAAGGTCCAGCGATTCGGGATCCTCGCCCCACGGCGTCGCTCCGCTGCGCTTGCGGTCGTGGGCCCACTGATTGTAGCGATGCGCCGGCGTGGGACGCGCCGACCAGTCGCGCGACTGGCTGCCATGACGCGATCTCGGCGTGGGCATGTCCCAGTCGGAGGAGGAGGAGCTCTTCCGGTGGCCTCCCTCCTCCTCCTCGTCCCAGGAGCTGTTCGAGACGCCGCCGCTGCTGCTGCCGCCTGGAGTGCCCGGTTCCCGTGGCGTGTGCACGCTGCGCTCGGACATGGAGCGATCCCGGCTGCTACGGCTGCTCCGGCGATCTCTATCCCGATCTCGATCTCGATCTCTTCCTCTGTCCCGCTGGCGCCGCCTGTCCCGCTCCCGCCTGTCCCGATCCCTGTCCCGCTCTCTGCCCTCCGAGGAGGAGCTGCTGGCCGCCACTGGGCGACCGCGATCCCTGTCCCGCCGGATGTGCTCCCTCAAGCGTTCCCTGGCCTTCTCCGAAACGCCGCCCGTGTGCGAGGGCGTCTCGTCCTTGTGCTCGCGCAGCTGGCCGCGCAGCTTCTCGAAGCTCTTGGTGTCCGGCTTCTTGAAGGCAAACTCGCTGGTGGAGGAGCCTCCTGATCCCTGGGGAGTGGAGCCTCCTCCTCCTCCTCCATCATCATACTCGCTGTCCTGGAACGAAATCAGCCGCTCCGAGCGCTCCTTCTCCGCGCGCCGCTTGGCCGCCAGCTTGTCCAGGCCCAGCAGCGATCCCTGCGGCACCTTGAAGCCACCAGTTGACCTGGTTTTGTGGTCCGCGTCCTTCGGCTTCCGGATCACCAGGCCGCCGCGCGCCTCCTGGCCCACGGTGCCCTCCAGCCGGTGGACGCCGGCCTCCTCGTCGTCGGAGGGCATCCTTGCTAGTGGGTTTTCTCCTCCAATTGCTCTTAGCTGGATTTATTTGCAAAGTTTTCCTCGTTTCCCTAAAATAAGAAGACCACTCAATTCACTCGCGTTGGCGTTGCCGGCTAACAGCTGATCGCCAAAGCTGCCACCCTGCGGGAATTCGGTGCAGCCAGTCTAACTAGAAATTGCTAGAAAATTCTTTAGTCACAGCTTTCGTTATGCTGGTTTTAGACCTGTTAAATAATAATTTTTTAAAATTTATTTTTTAGGATCACCATTGGCTCATAACTTAGCTTAAATACAAACTAAAAATATATTTTGTGATTTTATTTTGTGTAACATATTCTTTAAAATAATTTTTGTGGCTCCCAAAACTGTTAATCATATTGGATTGAACGCTTAAATATTTGCTTATTATTTCAGAATAACTAAATTTGCTTTATTTTTTAAGCAATTTGTATTTTTAAAAGTTTTATAAAGAAGCTTAAGTACAGACTTAAAATAGATTGTGATTTTATTTTAGGTAACATGGAATTTAAAGCAATTTCTGTGGCTCCCAAAACTGTTAATCATATTGGAATATTCAGAATAAATAAATTTGTTTTCTTTTTACACAATTTGTATTGATTAATGGTTTTATATAGAAGACGAAATAAATCGTATTTCATTGAAATTTAATATAGGCCAGAATTTGTCCAGCTTTAAGCCAGAGATGCCGGACTGCTACAAAAATATAGAGCCCAATTTAAATCATATTTTAGCTATTTGGCGCCTAAAAAGAGTTTTAAAAATCGAAAAAAACATATTGCTCAAGTTCTTTATTTGCATTTAATTGATTTTACTCTGATTTGTCCGCCTTCTCCGCCACCGTCTGGGCGATCCAGTCCAGATAGGGCGGGTTGCCATTCTGGATGGGCAGGGCGATGACCTCGGCGACGCTGTAGGGATGATTCTCGCGGACGAACTTGCTCAGCTCGTCGATGCGGCTGGTGCGCGTCTTGACCATCATCAGGAACTCGCTGTCCTCGGTGACCTTGCCCTCCCACATGTAGATGGACTCGATGTGGGGCACGATGTTCACGCAGGCGGCCAGTTTCTGTTCCACGAGGCTGCGGGCCAGCTTCCTGGCCGATTCGCGATCCGGCGTAGTGACGAAGGCCACCGAACTGCTGCCCGCTACGTAGGATTCCCCTGATTCGCTCATTTTGGAGGAGGCTGAACTGCTCGAGGCAAATGCCGGGCGGATTGTGACGACGCTCGTGACGCTGGCCGCGATCAACAGGTTGCGCACCAACGACCAGCGAAAGGGCAAGAACCTTGCACAGCTGCGATATTGCAGCCACCACATGCACTTTGTTCGGCACGAAACGAAGGCGAAATTGCAATAAGATTGCCGAAATGCAATCAAAATAACAAACAAGGCGACGTGTGTCAAGGCCTGGCGTTGCCAGACTGCGGCCATCTGGCGGATAGCTATTTTCAAGCCAAACAGGGGGAGTTTTAAAAACCCTTAGGGTCCCTTTGCACGAGTAAATTTTAAAAGTTAAAAAAAAAATAAATTCATCTTTAAGATATATGTTATATACATAAGAAAATAAAATAAGTTAGTACGCAGGTCCCAACATTTACCGGCAAAATTAAGAAATTCTACAAATTTTTGTTATGCAATATAGATTGCACTCATGAAATATTGAAAATGCTATTTTAAAAATAAATAATAAAAATAAATTAATCAATACGTATTTTTTACTCACTACTATGACTATTCAATTTTAAATACTTAAATCACAAAATTATAATCAAGAGGGTATAAAAAATGAGTTTACTCTAAAAAGCCCACAGAAAGAAAACAAATTTTTCTAGGTGCATGGATCCGAACTTTTTTTATCAGCCTGGGCGACTATCAATTCAAATTTTAAAAACTCGACCATCAAATATCTGTTGAATATCGCAAAAGGATTGCACCAAATACAGAGTGATTAATTGGCTGGCCATGATGTCAGCGGTGTCGAGAAATTCCGGGCCAAAAAATACTGCAGTGGGAAACCGCGGGATCCGAAACCGAAACAGAAACATCTGCCCATTTGGATGACCCATTGCAACAATTAATAACGGTTATGCCGCGAGATTTATGAACGACGACATATAAACAAGACCAAAGCGCTTTAGCCGTCTACACAGCTCAGCTCAGTTCAGCTAAACTCAACCGCGAAATGTCATAAAAAATCAGAGACAAAACCCGAATTGCTTAGAAACCAGAAGAGCACTCACAAATTGTATAATTAAGGAAAGGAGCGAGTGCGAGTTCGACTTCACACGCCGTAGGGGGCGTGCCGCACTCGTAAAAACAAAACTAACGCAATGCCAAACCCAAAACTGGGAGTACACTCGGAGAAAATCGATAGATTTAAAAAAAGTGGTATATTTGAAAAAATTTTAACATAATTTCATCGTTTTTTAATTATGCAATTTATCAGATTTAATTTATTGGATATATTTTGGTATCTATAATATCCTTAAAAAAATGATACATTATTTTTTTTTTTTAATTCTAAGAAAAATCAACATTGAACTCTGAATTTTGTTTTAATTTTTAATTATTTGATATTATATTTTTGATTTATTTATCTATTTTGGTATAAGCTATGAATAAAATTTGTAAGTGAAATATTGTATAAATACTCAAACATAATTAAAAAGATAATTATATAAATAATTTAGATTCTATTAATTCCAAGTAATAAAAGTAAAATCGAAGAAATCTAGTCTCCCAGTATGATGAAAAAATAATAGCAATATCAAATTTCTCCCAGTGTATGCACTCTATAAGGCGAACGTGGTTTTTCCACGGCCAGACAATTTCGGGGGCTTCTCTGCCGGATGAGTCGTGGGACATCGAACGCGCGGCGAGCTGACAGCGCGAACATGACGAACTTTTCGGATCTGCTGGGACTCTATACTCCAGTCTTCTGTCTTCTGTCCGGCTGCCTGCTGCCTGCTGCCCTGCCCGTTGAGTAATGGGCTCTGTCCGCCGACATGTCCGCGCCAAGGCGTTAAAATCAGTTGTAAAGTATCTGGGGTGCACATCGCGATTCGCGCTTAGAAGCGTATAAAAACTAGAGCCGGCCCATGGATCAGCAACAGTTGATCGTCGGCGTCCAATCGGTGCAAACATAGAAGCTATAGAAGCCTCAATCCTTTCAAGAAACAAACAGTATCTGTCTCAAAACATTCTCAAAATGGTAAGTGATCGTGGCAGGACTTAAAACTATTTCGAAATATAAAGAAGATCCAATAGTTTACCAAAAATATTTCTGTATTTAAAAATATCGAGAGCCGGACAATATTTAAAAATATTTGAAAATATTCAAATAATTATAAAAATCGCTAAAAGTATGCAATGAAACCAGACTTTCGAATTTGCAAAAAATGCATCTCATCGAGGGATGTTTCGCCTTGATTTCAAGAACTTTTCTTCTTGAAAATGGGAAAAGACTACTTTCTTCTTAAAATCAAGATCACTTTACTCGAGAGAAGTTTCGTCTTGATTTCAAGAACTTTTCTTCTTAAAAAAGTGAGAATATGAATTTTTAAATAAATCTTGGCATTTGTTTGTTCTTAATTTTTCTGGATGTTGTTTTTTTAATCCAATGACTTTTCCTCCACAGAACTCCATGACCGTCCTCGCAATCCTGGCCGCCTCGTTGGCCTTCTGTGCTGGCGATGTGTCGCACTTGTCGCGCAGCTACCTGCCCCCCGTGAGCGGCGCCTATTCCGGGTACTCCTCCGGCTACTCCTCCGGATATCCATCGTACTCCAGTGGCTCTGGATATTATTCGGGCGGCGTCGGCAGCTACGCCTCGCCGATCGTCTCTTCGTCCTACAAGAGCTACGCGGTGCCACAGTACACCACCTATTCGACGCCCTCGCGCACCTATTTGCCAGCGGACACGGGCTACTCTGGATACTCGGGATACTCCGGATACAATGGCCTGGACACCAAGTACGGCAGCAACGGCGGCTACGTCTACTAGGCCATGTCCACCCATCCTGGGAGGCCAGCAACAATGGAGCAAGCGGACAACTATATATTCCTATATCTACATTTTTTTTTTGCCTTGGCTAAGCAACTTTTTTTGTGCAATTTATGGCTATTAATACTTTTGAATGCTTTATACAGTGATTAACATATACATTGTGCAGTGTATTAATTTGGGCGGAATTGGATTTATAGAAGGGTATTCACCGTAAATCCTCTATCACAAAAGAGGAATATCTCGCAGATAAAATTTTCGAAATATAAAAATATTTAAGAATTCGGTTAAGAAAATTAACTAATTTCTACACTCTAAGCAAATCCTAGAAACAAATTCTAGTAATTACAAAACAATTTTATTTGTAATTTTTTGTTCAGTATTTCTGATATTCAAGGTGTTATTTAATATCTTTCAATTCTGAAATTTAAAATATTTTGTGAGCAAAGAAATCAAACAAATTTGAAGATATACATTTTTCCCTTAAGAAGTGCTAATAACTTAGGAACGCAATTTGACACAATCGTTGAATAAAAATTTTTTTTTTGGTTTTTAATTATCCTTTGAAGTATATATGGATATATAGCTTTCGAAATATTCCCTCTTTCAGTCAAATCTAAAATCTTTGTTTCATGCATTTTAAGCTTTATTTCGATAGTAAAAAAAAAATTGTAGGTACAAAATGTAATTGAATCGATATTATTTTCGAAGAGATCCCTTTTCAATGCCTCAGGCGGTACTCATAGCCGCCGTTGGAAGCGTAGGAGCCCGATTTGTGGCCAGATCGCAGACCAGATCCTTGGAGAACGACGTGGCCAGATCCATGGCTAGATCCCTGGCTCGAGCCATTGGAGAAACTCACATGGGAGACGGCAGCTGGAGCGGCATATGTGCCATGGGAGGATGAGGCTGCAGATCCCACGGAGCTGTAACTCCTTTGCGAGGCAGCGGGGGCCAAATATTGCCTGGAAGGAGCTGCAACTGGAGCGGAATAGGAGCTATAAGAAGCCGATGGAGCAGCGTAGGAGCCTTGGGAATGAGATGAACCTCCATGGGCAACGGCTGGAGCAACTGCAGCATAGCTCTTGTGGGCGGTGGCCACGGGAGCGGAGTAACTGCTATGGGATGAGGCTGCCGGAGCTAAATACTTCCTGGAGGGAGCGGCCACCGGAGCGGAGTAACTGGTGTGGGAGGCAGAGGAGTAGGATCCATGGGATGCAGAAACAGCTGGAGAGGCGTAGGATCCATGGGATACAGATGTTGAGGCGTAAGATCCATGGGATGCAGATGGTGAGGAGTAAGATCCATGAGATACAGAAGGTGAGGAGTAAGATCCATGGGATGCAGATGGTGAGGCGTAGGATCCATGAGAAACAGATGGTGAGGCGTAAGATCCATGAGAAACGGATGGTGAGGAGTAGGATCCATGGGATACAGATGGAGCAGAGTAAGATCCATGGGATACGGATGGTGAGGAGTAGGATCCATGGGATGCGGAAGCAGCTGGAGCTAAGTACTGCCTGGAAGGAGCTGCAGCTGAAACCACCGAGTGAGTCCTGCGGGCAAAGGAGGCTCCCGAAGGAGCTGCATACGATCCCAAGGAACTGGAGGCCGCCGCGTTGTAGCCACTTTGGGCGCCCACTTTCGGGGGCAGATAGGAGTTACTAAGCGGAGTGCCCAAAACCACAGAGGCCAGGGTGAAGATCACAACTGCAAAGGAGCGCTGCAAGGAAAATATTAAGAGTGTGAATACCAAAAATTAATAGTCACTATTAAAAACTTACCATCTTAATGGATTCTTGGTTCTCAAGCGTTGGATAGCTGCTGTTCCAGCTCGTTGGGAACTTGGAACTGATGCCTCCGTAGACTCGAGCCCACACTTTTATAGGAGAATTGGTATCTTACCTCCGAACAATGGGTGTGCAGGTGAGTACAAATCTTTCAATCCCCGAAAGACGCACACACAAAATAGACGAAAATAAAAACAGAAACGAAGAAAAAAAGAAGTGAAGCGCAAAAAATAAAGCAATACTTAGTAGTATTAGAACGCAATGGTTTTGGTCTTTCCGATGATCGTAGTTTCGCTGGCTGCTGTTGGTCCAAAAAAACACTGGTCTACACAAAATAGTACAGCTAAAAAAATAAAAAAATGCTATGCTAAATGAGTTACTATATTTTTTCTTTATATTTTTAATTTATAACACAAACCTTAAGTTAAATCTTTTTCTCGAGCGTATGTTTAACTAAAAAAAGGTTTTAAACAGTTTAAGTCTAATATATTTTTTTGTAATTATTCTATATTTATTTGCTTACAGTTACTATAATATATTTTTTACATACTTTAAAATGAAATATTCAGTAATTTTCCAAATAGACATGCGGTTTATAGCTTAAACTTTTTTTTGGGTTTAAATAAAATAATTATTTATTCTATATACGTTATAGGCTTCTTTCATTTAGATTAAAATGGATTGAGGATTATATTCCCAAATTCCCAACCCTGTTGCTGAGTGCCAATTAAGAATAGCGCGTTTGGAGGATGTCGTAGACTCTATTTATTTGACCGTTTATTTTTAGCCCTGTCCATTTCGGAAGTCGCCGAGAGTAATTAATGATGCGATGTGCCGCGGGTGAGAAGTTCGTGGCTGGAGGTAATCCAATCCAAGCTAATCCAATCTAAGCCGAAAAAAAGAGAGGCCAGACACCTTGGGTTCCTGAGAGACCTGGGGATCGTATTGGATTGTATTGGTTTCGAATTTTGAATTTCGAATTCGTATTCCGAATCGAGAGCCCCCATGCAATGACAGCCCGCGTCCTAAAGCAACGATTACTCACCGCACACACATTAATTATATTCCACACATTTCGAAATGAAAATCGGAATCGGGCTTAATGGTCAAAGGCACCTTTTTGCTTGTACCCAAGTGTTTATGTCTTTTGCGTGCGTTTATATAATTAAAACTAAATGCAAAGAGCGCTGAAATTAACAACAAACAAAAAATCGGTCAAAACTTAAACAAAAACATGGCGATAAGATGATTGTAGATGTTAAAAATACCCTTGTAGGTCTATATGGTCATGCAATTTGCATAAAATTGTCAGAGTCATTGGGGGGAATTTATTGTTGAACAATTTATCGCCATAACTGTTAAAGAAGCTGAGTTGTTATCATAAGCACTTAATTTACTACCTGTTTTTTTTTGTTTCTTAATGCGATTATGAGAAATAAAAAAAAGTATGAAAATATGAGAGCTTTTTATTGGTAAAATATGAATTTTAAGTACCAAAAAATTATAATTGGAATTTACTATAATTTTTATATAATCTTTCTAAATTCGAGTCAATAAATATAATTACTTCTAACTCAAAGTCAACATACCCGTTTGTCTTAGGGTAAAAAAATATATAAAAAAACATAGTAATTAATTTTTGGCTCTGATGTGCGTACTTGGATAGGGTGAATAGTCAGTGGGGGTTCATTTTTAACAGAGATTCTTTTGGATCAAGTTATCTTCGTGCAGATAGTCGGTTAATTTCAATCTAATATGTTTAATATACATATGTGTTAAATGTTCGGCTCATTCATTAGAGCAATTCAGCCCATACGATTTTACGTAGGTGCGAGCAGTAGAGCAGTAGCTCTAATAAATGAGCAAAATTGTACTTTTTAGATTCCATTTTGCTCATACAAAAAAAAAAAAAAAATGGTGGCCTTCGGTTTTTACAATTTTGCTCATTAATTGGTCATTGCAGCTGACATATATCTGTCTTGCTCGCACTTACGTAAAATCGTATAGGCTGAGAAAAAATTGTTCTAATGAATGAGCCGAACAATGTAGTGGAATAACAGCATAAAGGAGGTGTGTTAGAGCGATCATTGTATTTAAAAAAAAATTAGTTTATATATTTTGAATGTTATTCAATCAGAGAGTGTATAACAAGTGGGTGTTTTCTCAATTCAAGGAAAGTATGTTATAAATATTTAAAAATATCTAAATGGCAAAAATATTATAGTTTTTGATCACTTTTTCTTGAGGCTCTATATAAAATGTACCATTGAGAAAAACCATAAAGGTTTTTACCATTATTATAAAGTCTGTATACTGTAATCACATAACATTTATTTCAATTTACAAAAGTTCCCTTCAAGAACATGTTAATTATTAATAACAGTACCGTTATTATTATTAGTAACCGTAATATTATTAACGCCTGGTCCTTCGACCAGATCCTTGGCATAGGCCACATAGAGGATGTTGTGCTTGCTGGCCACCGGTTTGCCATCGTCCTGTTCGTGTCGCACCTGCAGGCTGTCCGAGTCCAGGACTACGCTTCCCACCAACTGCCCGGGTTTTAGATAGTAGTTCTGCCCCATAGAAGTGGGTCGATGCTCGGTGACAAAGTGATACCTCATCGGTTCCAACTCCTCGATGACGAGATGGGGTCGCTCAGTGGTTGTTGCTTCTGTTTCCTTTCCACTTAGCAGCTCCATTTCCACTCCTTTTTTCACCGGTTGGGCGCCACTTCTAGCAGCTAGCAGCGCCAAGGCAAAGATGACAAGATGATGACTTGACCTGGTCGACATGACTGACTTATGACTCGATCGATTCGATTCTGAGTTCCGATTCCTGCCTTGCGGCATTCTTTTATATCCTCAGCTGGGATTCTGAGCTGCGGGAAAGGCTCTCTCCTCCCAGAATAATGGCCTGATTCTTGGCGAGCTCCTCAATTGTTTTGCTCGCTGGAAACATTGTTTTTTCTTCCTTCCTTTTTTCGCTTGCTGCATAACAAGTTTTTGGACATTAACCCGATTTCGATTTCGCACTCGAACTGAGCTTATATATATTTGTATATATATATATATACCACTTTGGTCCATTCACAAGAGAAACGGCTGAGGAAAAGGCAAACAGAAAATGCAAATTCAGATTCGGACATACAATTCGCCATATGGGCATGGGCATATATATCCGTATAGGGTGTAGAGTTTATAAAGTGTATAGAGTGGGACTCGCCCGACGACAGACATAAATTCACGTCGTCAGTTGCACGATTTCGGTTTGGATTTCGGATCCGTATAATTAATAAGCTCCGCTTTTAATGGCAAATAAATGTTTGCTAGACGCATTTATTTATCATGTTGCTCGATATTCGTATTTTATGGCCTCTTGATTTGTTTCGTTCAACTCATTATCGCAATGGTTTTAGATTTGTATAACATTTTTCTAGCACATTTTCGTGGGCTTGTTTGGTGGAAGATTTGGAGAGGTGGTTTTTCGGATTAATTGACTATGATATTGCGATTTAATGACACTTTTATTAGATTTAAAGGAGGCGAAGTGAAATAAAAGCAGCTTTTGTTCTGCGTTTCTTTAATACCAGTTTAATGTTCAATAGTTGGAAGCTGTGCTATTAACTTTGATCATAAGGATTTAATAGATTAAACCTATTCTTAAATAACAATCGTAACACTCCAATTTTTAACTTTATCTTAAACAAATAAATAAATAAATCCTTACTAAGTTAATCATGAATTTAAATTAAATTGTTAGACCACTGGGTTCCCCAAAGCAGAAGATAATATGCTCAATCTATAAACAAGGCTTTTGTCTGTAGAGAATAAAAGATGTCTTTGTTTACTCCCGGATGTACATATGCTAAATCGAGTAAGTCACTTGGGACATCCCCGCATGACTATCATCTTAGAACTGGCCAAACCAGAACTTCTATCTCAACCAACTAGGATTAGTCAGGAATAAAATAAGATCTATTCTGTATGGTGACTAATGCATTAAATTATGAAAATAACTTTTTTATTACTTACTTAATATGCAACCACAAATTTCCAGGTAATACGAATTATTTATAATATTTCATATTTCCATCGCTTTTTGGTTTATATCAGTGGTGGCCACCACGGAATAGGCAGTTTCTCTGCCGTTGCGCTGCTAGCGTTTCGACGCACACGTACGCAGTAAAGATTATTTTAGATAGCTCATCCGTAAGAGGGGCAGATACATTCCCCATCTAAGCCGCTGATCTAAATAAAAAGCCTTCTCTGTTTTAGCACATTACATTCGATTTATTGTAAGAAAAAAAAAGGTTTCGTCGCATGATCACTTTCGTTTCGGGACGCAGTCTTTAGTAGACGTATCCACCGTTGGAGCCGTAGACGGTGCCCGAGGATCCGGAGTAGCTGCTGACCACAGCAGGGGCGGAGTAGCTGGACACAGCCGGGGCGGAATAGGTCTTCACAACAGCGGGGGCGGAGTAAGAGGACACAGCGGGGGCGGTGTAGGTGGACACAGCCGGGGCGGTGTAGGTCTTCACCACAGCGGGAGCAGTGTAGGTCTTGGCCACAGCGGGAGCAGTGTAGGTCTTAGCCACCACGGGGGCGGTGTAGGTCTTGGTCACCACAGGAGCGGTGTAAGCCTTGGTCACCACAGGAGCAGTGTAGGTGGACACAGCTGGGGCGGAGTAGGTCTTCACAACAGCGGGGGCGGTGTAGCTAGACACAGCGGGGGCGGTGTAGGTCTTGGCGGCATAGGTGGTCACGGCAGGAGCAGTGTAGCTGGAGACAGCTGGGGCCGAGTAGCTCTTGACCACGGCGGGTGCGGTGTAAGCCTGAGTGTAGCTGGACACAGCTGGGGCGGAATAGGTCTTCACAACAGCGGGGGCGGTGTAGGCCTTGGTCACCACGGGAGCGGTGTAGGTCTTGACCACAGCGGGGGCGGAGTAAGAGGACACAGCTGGGGCGGAGTAGGTCTTCACCACAGCGGGGGCGGAGTAGGAGGAGTAGGAGGCGGCGGCGGGGGCGGCATACGACTTGGTCACCACTGGGGCGACGTAGGTGGCAGCGGGCTGCTCGTAGGTCTCCTCGGCGGCTCCCTCGTTGGCGTAGGAGGCAGTCTCAGCCGGGGCGGCATAGGACTCGCTGGTAAAGGAGGCGGCTGGGGCGGCATAGGACTCGCTTTCGTAGGTGGAGGCGGCGGCGGGAGCTTCGTAGGTCTCGGCAGCCGGGGCAGCCTGGTAGGACTCGTAGCTGCTGGAGGCGGCGGCCGCGTGGGGAGGCAGGTAGGTGTTGCTGGTCAGGTGGCTGACATCGGCCGAGGCCACAGCCAGGAGGGCGAGCGAGAGGACGGCGAAGAATTTCTAGAATACAAATATTATTATTAATATTTGGAATTAATTTGAGGATCTCTGGAGAGCTCACCATGTTGCTGGGACCGAAGTTGTGAGAACACTAGTACCTTCTCCACCATTAAGCCGCCTATTTATAGTCGCCGAAAATGTCTGGCCAACTTGATACACGAATGTCAAAAGGCGCTACGAAAACCAGAACAAACGCACACCGAAAGCACCGCCACACAAACTATATCGTCTATTCGAAAATAAAAGAGCCATAATAATGAGGCATTTCGTCCAGCGGAGCTCATTAGTCGGCCATAATATTCCGACTTTTCTCCACTCCCCTGCTGATTCTGATTCTTATTTTGATTCTCAATCTGAATCCAATTTTGTTCGCGAATCGGAGATGATGGCGTTGATAAAGGGGTAGAAATGGTGTACATGAGAAATTGCAAACACGGGCTGTGCGAAACTCGTTATTGAACTCCATTCATAAGTCGCTTGGTTCCGTCACTTACTCATCGTCCGTCAAGGCGGAATCGAAAAGCTACAGTCCACAGACAAAAGCCCTCGAAGAAGAGCAATACGAGCCGAGTTCTGAACAGTTAGGCCATTAATCATTGCTGGGGATTTACCTGGAAAACAATGGCTTACATGTCGCCCGGAGTTTTGAGCATCCTTGAGATTTCATTTCTTATATATATTCCATAGTGCAGTTTGTAACCCTTACAAAAACCCAATGATATATTTTTTGGGCCTTTCCCATGCTAAAGTAATTAATCTCCTTATTACACTCTGGCTGGAGTTCAGTAATCACTCTTAATTTATTCCCTACAGCAGCATCAATAAATATCAGCAGTATTGAAATTCAATTTAGCTATTAGATGATAATGTTTCTACTTGAGAATTTATTATAACAAAAAACCGCTTTGAGGTGATTTATAATTTGGCTGCTTACCGTTTTGTGAAATTGCCATAACTCAAGTCTCACATTAGAAGATTGAGTTTCACGATAGGTACTGGAATTTCAGGAATTTAGCGATTTGTTAACCATATTTTAAATATCACTTGTAATAATTTACATAAAGATTATTTTATTTTATTTATTTATGATTGAAAAATATTTAAATGGAACACAACTAAATGTGTCAGCTAAGTTAGATGAATTTATTATAGCCACTGTCATTCGATTGCTTCCCCACTTCCTTATCAATAAAATATTCAAATACTTATTTTTTTATATAACAAAAGCAGTTTATTGATTAACAAAAGCGTAACATCAAAAATTGTATAGCGATGAAAAAATGTGCTAGAAATTGGCTATGTAACACTAAGTTCAGATGAACCGATCATTAGGGTTATATTTTTCGCACAATGCGGCATAGTTTTCTTAAGAAAATCATATACTATGTTTATACGATAGCAATCACGATTTCTTGAAAGCGCAAAATAGAAATAACCCCTGTTTATACGACAGCCGAGAATTCATGCATTTATTCACTCTCAGCTGTTTGGGATGCCGGACCGGTAAAAATTTCTCATTTTTAATACCACTGATTAGAGAAATAGCCTATAAAAGGCCTTCAATTTCTAGCGATCTGGCAATGATGATTTGTAAGGCAAAGTTCGTGTTTATGCATTTGTACTATATATAAATGTTTGGGGTTTTTAGGAGTGCTTAATTGTTTTACAATTCCCCAAGTCTCTGTTCTCGTTTCCGTATCGTTCAACTAAATGCATAATTTTTCGTAATATTAATTCATAAACATATAAAAAGAGCTAAACACAAAGTACAAAAATGACATACTATTTTACGGATAAAGTCCTTGTGGCCATAAAGATGGTGAGCAAAGGCTCTGGGATAAATAGAAAAGAAATTCGACCGATTTTAAAATAAGTCAGGTGAAATGGATGTAAATTTAAATATTAACCACTCTTCAAAAGTACAAAAAAAAGAACGTAAGCCAGAGCTCCAGCACCAATGCCGCTCATCATGGAGGACAAATTGTGGAACGTCTTTAATTGAAAGCATGTGACTCTTTAACCTTCCGCTACCCGCTACCAGTGACAATGGTATGGTAGCGGCGGGAGTCAATCATTTCCTCTCCCAGGATTATGGTGCGCTGCAGGGCAGGCCATTTTGGCTCTGCAAAATAAAAGTTTATCATTATAATACAAAATATTTTCAGCTTTAGACCTTTATACGCCGCGTGTGCCAGTTGAGAAATAAATTTATAAATTAAAATACACTTACCACATTTGGCTAAAACCCCTTATCTCAGGGACTTCCGGGGCGACTGGCGATCTCGAGGAGCAGCAGCTGCATCTCAATGTGGGTTTGAATAAGATCGCTGAAACTGTGGAGCAGGTGGAGGAGATGCAAAAGTCGCTGGCCGTCAAGAAGCAGGAGTTGCAGGCCAAGAACGAGGGTGCCAATGCCAAGCTCAAGCAGATGTTCCAGGATCAGCAGGAGGCCGAGAAGAAGAAGATCCAGTCGCAGGAGCAACAGCCTGTTCTTGAGCATCCTGTTGAGCATCCTGTTGAGCATCCTCTTGAGCATCCTCTTGAGCATCCTCTTGAGCGTGTTGAGCAGCCAGCGCTGCAACAGCCGGTTGAGCAGCCGGTCGAGCAGCCTGTTGTGCAGCCCGTCGAGCAGCCTGTTGAGCAGCCTGTAGGATTTCCTCTGGCCATATGGGAATTATTCGGGCAACCCGTTGCACCGGCTGCCCTGGCCCTGGCTGTTGCCCTGCCACTGCCTGTTGCCCTGGCCCTGGCGGCAGTTCTGGCCCTGGCGGCATTGGGTGCTGCAGCCAACCAATATCCATCGATGCCCGGGCTGCATGATTTCCAAAAAAAATAATTTATGTGTAGGATAATTAGTAGGTATAATTTTACAATATCTATTTTCATCCTCTGGCTAAGAAGTTTTTAAAGATACTTTTTTTATACATTTCCCAGCCAACGTTCTTCAGCTGGATTTAATTTAGCTAAAGAAATGTTGATCGATTTCTCGGAAAAATTCCGATTTGATCATGGATATCCCAATGGGATAATATATCCGCGTTGTACAACTTGTCGGACACCCAGCGCAGAGTTTTGCTGATCAGCAAACTTAAAGGCAGTGCGTTTGTATCAGGATGTTTTATTAATTATTTCACAAGTTCTTTATTTTGCCTTTTTAAAGTTCAAAATCGGTTTACACTGTCTTCCTTGCCCTGTTCATATAAACTTATGTATAACAACATTAATATTACAACTAAAGCTAGCATTTATATAAAGTACAATAATACAAACAGCATGTTACATTATATTACACCTAGCCTGTTACAACTCGGCCGTCTTGACTTTGAGATATCCCAATCCCGTAATCAGGACCCAAAAACACGTCAATATGGAAAGTTTGAACAAAATTGGGCGTAGGAGCTAAACGGAAGTTTATCCCGCGGATATATTATCCCATTGGGATATCCACGATCGAATCGGAATTTTTTCCGAGAAATCCATCAACATTTCTTTAGCTAAATTAAATCCAGCTGAAGAAAACTCTCCATCGGCCCTTCCACTTGGGCGCAGTAGCATGTTTGCATTCGAATTTTGGTTTGCAACACTGCCACTGTTACCACCGTATTCTGCGCCGCCAAGTTCTAGAAAATCAGCGTGTTGAGCCGCCAGGGCTGCAACAGCCTGTTGTGCAGCCTGTCGAGCAGCCTGTAGCATTATTTCTGGCCATGGTAGTATTATTCTGCCAGCCCGTTGCACCGGCTGTTGCACCCCCGCTGGCGGTGGCGGTAGCAGCCAACCGTATCCCACCCAAAAAAAAAATAGTCATCACAATTTTACTCGTACTAACTGGGTTCCATCCGATAAGATGTGTAAGTGAATGGGCGGTCCTTGTTAATGATACTAAACGGTCTGAAACAAAAATTTAAAAAAGAATTAGTTTGAGATTGAAACTTTTTGGGTAATTTATCTAAGAATAATTGCTTAATGGAATCCACTATAACGGTGTTTACTATTTCTATAGTGCTTACATACGCACATACATATGTATATCATTCGTGCCTCGCATATTTTTGGGTGTACTTGAGAATTTATTATAACAAAAAACCGCTTTGAGGTGATTTATAATTTGGATCTTACCGTTTTGTGATATTGTCATAACTTAAGTCTCTCATTATAAGATGGAGTTTCACGATTGGTACTGGAATTTCAGGAATTTAGCGATTTATTAACCATGTTGTAAATATCACTTGTAATAATTTAACTAAAAATTAAGAGAAATACTTACATTTATTAAATAGTAGGTACTTTAAATGGAACACAAATGCAAATCCCATTAGCTAGCCTACTAAATTAGATGAATTTATTATAGCCACTGTCATTCGATTGCTTCACCACTTCCTTATCAATAAAATATTCAAATATTTATTTTTTTATATAACAAAAACAGTTTATTGATTAACAAAAGCGTAACATCAAAAATTGTATAACCATAAAAAAATGTGCTAGAAATTGGCTACGTAACACTAAGTTCAGATGAACACATCAGCGATTAACGTTCGATCCTCAACTCGATGCGAGTTCGGACCTCCGCTGGGGTCCGTTCACAAGCATCCTACTTGTACAGGTAACCACCGTTGGCGGCGTAATGGGTTCCGATCTCGGCTTTCTGAACCGGAACTGGAACTTGAACTGAAATGGGAGCAGGAGCGGTTTGGGTGTAGGTCACCTGCTGTTGCACCGCCGGTGGGGAGTACTGCACAATGGGTTGGGATGGCTGCTGGACATGTTGAATAGGTGCAGGTGGTGCTGGCACAAAGGATTGCTGCAGCTGCACTGGAGCAGGAGCAGGAGCAGAGTAGAATTGTTCCTGAACCACTGGAGCAGGAACCGGAACAGAAACAGGAGCAGGTGCAGGAGCAGGCACAGAGTAAGTTTGCTGAGCAACTGGAGCAGAAGCAGGAGCAGAATAAGTTTGCTGAGCAACTGGAGCAGAAGCAGGAGCAGAATAAGTTTGCTGAGCAACTGGAGCAGAAGCAGGAGCACTGTAGAATTGTTCCTGAACCACTGGAGCAGAAACCGGAACAGAAACAGGAGCAGGTGCAGGAGCAGGCGCAGAGTAAGTTTGCTGGGTGATAGGAGCAGGAGCAGAGTAAGTTTGCTGAGCAACTGGAGCAGAAGCAGGAGCAGAATAAGTTTGCTGAGCAACTGGAGCAGAAGTAGGAGCACTGTAGAATTGTTCTTGAACCACTGGAGCAGAAACCGGAACAGAAACAGGAGCAGGTGCAGGAGCAGGCGCAGAGTAAGTTTGCTGAGTGATAGGAGCAGGAGCAGAGTAAGTTTGCTGAGCAACTGGAGCAGAAGCAGGAGCAGAATAAGTTTGCTGAGCAACTGGAGCAGAAGCAGGAGCAGAATAAGTTTGCTGAGCAACTGGAGCAGAAGCAGGAGCACTGTAGAATTGTTCCTGAACCACTGGAGCAGAAACCGGAACAGGAACAGGAACAGGAGCAGGCGCAGAGTAAGTTTGCTGAGTGATTGGAGCAGGAGCAGGAGCAGAGTAAGTTTGCTGAGCAACTGGAGCAGAAGCAGGAGCAGAATAAGTTTGCTGAGCAACTGGAGCAGAAGCAGGAGCAGAATAAGTTTGCTGAGCAACTGGAGCAGAAGCAGGACCACTGTAGAATTGTTCCTGAACCACTGGAGCAGAAACCGGAACAGAAACAGGAGCAGGTGCAGGAGCAGGCGCAGAGTAAGTTTGCTGGGTGATAGGAGCAGGAGCAGAGTAAGTTTGCTGAGCAACTGGAGCAGAAGCAGGAGCAGAATAAGTTTGCTGAGCAACTGGAGCAGAAGTAGGAGCACTGTAGAATTGTTCTTGAACCACTGGAGCAGAAACCGGAACAGAAACAGGAGCAGGTGCAGGAGCAGGCGCAGAGTAAGTTTGCTGAGTGATAGGAGCAGGAGCAGAGTAAGTTTGCTGAGCAACTGGAGCAGAAGCAGGAGCAGAATAAGTTTGCTGAGCAACTGGAGCAGAAGCAGGAGCAGAATAAGTTTGCTGAGCAACTGGAGCAGAAGCAGGACCACTGTAGAATTGTTCCTGAACCACTGGAGCAGAAACCGGAACAGAAACAGGAGCAGGTGCAGGAGCAGGCGCAGAGTAAGTTTGCTGAGTGATAGGAGCAGGAGCAGAGTAAGACTGCTGGATCACCTGATGCTGTTCATGGACAGCTGGAACTAAAACTGGAGCGGGAGCAGAGTAAGTGGTGGTGATGGTTTCCTGCTGTGGGGCAACGGTCTCGACCACTGGTTCCGGAGAGGGCACAAACTGCTGTTGGACCGCTGGAGTGGGTGGCAGATAGGCGTTCCTCACCGCCGTCTGCGTGGCCACAATGGGCTTGGGTGGTTCGTAGATCACCTGCGGAGCAGGCAGGGGCTGCTCCACGGGAACAGGGGCAGGAGCAGGGATCGAAACCGAGACAGGAGCAGCGGCAGCTGGGATCGAAACCGAGACAGGAGCACTCTGCTGGTAGCTCTGCTGGCCGCCCGACTGGATGGTGAAGCTGGCCAGCGGAATGGAGGCCTGGATGGACTCCACGTGCGTCTGGATGTGGGGCAGCTGCGTTTGGATCTGCGACTGGATGAGCTGCTGGAAGTTGGGGGCGGCGGAAGACACCTCCTTGACCGGAAGGGGTGGCAGATATCCACTGGCACCCGGACGTCCCTGGACAGCGGACAACAGGCTGAGGGCAGCCACAACGACAAAGGCAAAGGGTTTCTGGGAACAAAAACATATATCACATATCACAAATCACTTGAACAAAAAATTGGGATCTTGAGATGGCCACTTACCATCTTCACTGGGGTCACAAAAATCAAAGGGAGAAGTGCACCGAGCGAACGCAACCGATTAACTGATGACCATCTTGGAGATGCCTTCTGCATTTATAGTTGGCTGCTCTCCCCTTAATTGGTGCGATGCCCGAGCCAACAGATACCAAATACCAAATACCAGATGGCCAAAAGCGGGGGGAATGCTAATGCAGATGGCCAACAATGAAAAAATCATGCAAAACACATCTCATTTCGGTGCGGATTATTATATGGCCAAAAGCACGACTCGCCAAGAGACTCCGTTTGATAACAAACAGCCCACCAAACGACCGACTATGGGTTACACATTAAAATTTAATGTGTATTTGGTTTTCTGCTTTTTTTCTGAGGACTCTTAGCCTGGAAATTCCACACGAAAATTATATAAATTTCAAACTGAAAGTCCGTAAAAAGCGACACCAATTTCATTGAATTAAGAGGTACAACTTATGGTTGCAGGAATTATTTTTTAATTACTTCTTTCTTTCAGTGCATCCAAGTCAAAAACAAAGTGTGTTCGAATTGTTCAAATATTTATCAAACACCAGTTGACATGGATTGTGTCCATTTGGCCAATTGACACCTGAGGCACTTCAACTTGAGTGCATTGACTTGTGTTTTCAATAGGTGATATAAGGTGCATTATCTGGTGAGATTGTTAGATTTTTACATTACAGTTAAGTGTAAGACTAAAGGCGTTGTTAAATATTTTAATTTATTTATTTAATTTATTTTTATTGTTTTGTAAAATAACTATTTCAATAATAAAACTATTTTTAAGCAAAAAAAAAATTATTTTTATACTCTTTAAATAAGAAATATTTGTGGTTCTTAAATATGTTTCACGAAAAATGTTTCACGAAAAAGTGTTTTATACCGAAGTGTTTAAAAATGTTTTAAATTTGTCCAATTGATCTGCAAAAATGATAAAAAAATAATAAATTTTACAGTAGATTTTTGACTTTGCATGGAAAATATAATAATAATGAATAAAATGATTAATATTTGCTTGCTCAGCATTTGCATGAGTACAATTTATGGTTCATTTTCTTACTTCAGCATAATATAAATAAAATTAAGAAATTTAATTTATTATTTGTTTTCTTGTCCAAATAGAAGCTGTGATTCTCCCAAATGGCTTGCACTTTCGTCCATTGTCTTAGCCCTCGGGTTGAAATTTATGACAAGATGTTAATCGGTTATGGGCCCACCATTCAGAGGCAGGCCGATGATTTCCCAACCACAACCCAACCAGTGAGATCTCACTCGGTGGCAGACATGTGTCCAACCTTCGGACGTTTTCAATGGGCCATAAGTTATTGGTAATCAGTGGCCACCGATTGTTCGATTCCGAGGGATATCCCATCTCCGATCTCCATATGGATATGGATATATTATATTATCTCGTAGGCGTGTGTCGCGGAGATTATGATAAGCGTATTTTATGGTCTTACAAGCGAGGCATAAAAATATTAAATAATGCGGATCTTCGGAGGCCACATCTGAATGCGAACTTCTGCAGCTGTCGCACGCGCCTCACGAAAATAAAGAGCCCAGAAAAGTGACAAATTGAAAACAAGGTTCAGGTCCACAAAAGAAAATGTCAAGTTGAGGGCCCCCGACAACCGCGGGCACAGTGTTGGCTTAATTATGACTAATTGCTGTGCGAACAACCTCTATATCCGAATGGCTATAGCTCGCCGATGAATATTCAAGTGGAGTCCGGCGAAAATTGCAACAAGCTGCTGGCTAAATCCAATTGGATATGCCAACGGGGGTAACATCCGAAAGCCCAGCTCGATTTGCATAAAAACAACAAATGGCTTAAGGTTAAAAGCTGCAAAAACGCTTTATGGAACTCGAGATCGGCGATTCCTAGTTAGCTATACTAAAATAATTATAACAATAAGAAGTTCTTATAATATTGGGTAACTTAAACTTAAAATAATTTAATATTTATTTAATAGATTTTTCTTAGAACTATTGTATATCTTCTAACTATATACCTATAAATAACTACACCTAAAATTTAAAGGTTGAATGCAATGGCCAAACCAGTAAATACCAAACCAATATCTTTATAAATATATTCTATTGGATTTATAAGTTTTTGATAATGTATTATTATTATTAAATAATTGTTAGATTAGCAAAAAATCGTTTTATTTAAAGCTGGAAAGGTACAAAAAGATTGCACAATTTTTAAAAACAATTATCATCTTAGTGGGCGACCCTTTAATAAATTAATTCCCCCACTGATGTAAGACCGTGTTAACAAAATAGCTGACAAAAGATCTCCCACCTTCGTTCCCGGACAAAAGAGCAAAAGTAATTTTCTTCTTTTTGCCAAAAGTATTCCAAACACTCATGAAAAAGATGGCATAAAAGCTTTTAAATGTGTTTACCGAATCTCAAACCACAACAACAACATAGCCAAAAGCACATATAAATAATTCAGTGAAGACATAAAAAAAAGATGAATAGAAATCAATTCGAGCTGGCTCAAGTCTAAATCGTATTTTTTGTTATAATTTTTGAATGTCTTTTGAAATGAATGCCTAAACTTGGGAATTGAATAGCTCTGCATTAAAGCGATGGAAAAATTCCCCTTTTTAATTCCCATGTTAGAAAATAAGAATTAGAATTTATAGATGTTCTGTAAGGGAAACTCATTGACGTCAGAAACTAGTTTGGCCAAACCAAAAACCGAGAATCTAAAAATAAACGAGACGATTCTTAGAATTTTGCAGACTTTACAGCTATCATTAATTTAAGTCGATTATGTTCGCCCTTTGAGAGGTCAGCTTTTGGTTTTCTACTTCTTTTTCTACGCCATTCTGTGACGTCAATTTGTAATGAACCTCTGTTGAAAGGCAGTTAATTAATCGATTACTAAATTGTATGTTCTTTTGGGGTTACAAAATGATTACAAGGTTTTAGCACGATACAATCTTTTCGAGTTGTTTGTTTTTTTCTACAAAGAAGGTATATTTTGATAGATATACTACTTATACTTTTTACCTTAGTATGAATATATATATATATATTTAATATTTTATTTATTTATTATTTTTTGTTCCAGAATGAATTTAACTATTATTTCCATCATCACTAAACTGAGTTAGGTTCTTATGCATAGTTCTCAAAACATTTTAAAGGTGGAATATTTAGCACTTATATATATATTGTAAGTTAATAAAAAAAAACCGATATGTTATCAAATTTTAATTGAAAAGTATAATCATTTTTGTTGCTGTATCATTTGTTTAATCCCTATTATTATGCCCAATCTAACAATCGATTAATTCTATTTTAATCTGCTCTTAAGACACAACAAATGTCCGAAGTTCAATAAACCTTTAGGGATGCAGGCTGTAGATCATAAATAAGCTGTGCATAATTACCCTAGGACTAAGCTTTTGGTCCACACCCAACCCAATCATCAGGTTTTATTCGTTTTTAAGTCTTTTGAAGACATCATAATTTATGGAACAGATGTCTGGCCGCTTTGGGATATGCATAAAACAAAAAACATAAGACATACGTGTATGTGTATCAATCACGGCGATAGATTGTCTCGTTTATGGTTATCAGTCAGACTTTTTGGCAAAGTCTTTGACTTCGATTAGCATAAAGACAAACGTTTTGTCTGTCTGCTTGTCGTCGGTTTTTATGGCCACAAAGCAAATAAATAAATAAAAACACAAGCGGAAAAATACAAGACAAAAAAATGGATGATAATTTATAATGAACATGTTGTTGATGCACCTCCCATAGGGCTATAAAGCCCTCTGGGATTACTTGGCCCTCTTGTAGACATAGCCGCCATTCGGTGCATAGACGGTATCCGCCATGCTCTTGGGATCATCGGCCAACGGATGAGGATGGGGATGCTCCTTTTGGGGCTCCTCCTCCTTTGGCGGATGCTCCTCATCGGAGTAGCCCGGTGGAGCGGGTCCTCCAAAGCCAGGTCCAAATTGCTGATAGGGATTCTGGGGATTTCCGGGCACTGAAGGTCCTCCGAAGCCCTGCGGCACATTGAATCCCTGGAACGGTGGACCCTGGGCATTGGTCAGCGGAAGTCCCTGGTTGGTCAGGAATTCCGGGAAGCCGTTTCCGGGTACTCCTTGTGGTGGAAAAGGTCCTGGCTGGGGCGCAAAGGGAGGTCCTTGAGGTGGAAAGCCATTTCCGGGCTGGAAGCTTGCGCCCTGTGGTGGAAAGCCTGCTCCTTGTGGTGGAAAGCCTGCTCCCTGTGGTGGAAAGCCAGGTCCTTGTGGGCCAAAACCTGCTCCTTGGGGTGGAAAGCCTGCTCCCTGAGGTGGAAAGCCTCCTTCCTGTGGTGGAAAGCCTGCTCCCTGTGGTGGAAAGCCTGCTCCCTGAGGTGGAAAGCCCGCCTGAGGACCGAAAGAACCTCCGGGAAAAGCGCCACCTGGAGGCAGTTGGAAAGCGGCATTCGGTGGGCCACCCGGGAAAGGTCCTCCTGCTCCTCCTCCACCGATTCCTGGACCCACTCCCTCACCAGGAACAGCGCCACCGAAGCCAAAGAATGGCGGGTAGATGGGCAGGGGGAAGTTGGGTGGCTGGACGGGCGGTGGTGGAACATTGCTGCCCGTGGGAATGGCATAGCCCGGTGGCAGGGGCAAACCATTCGAGGGATAGAAGCCAGAGGGATCCTTTTGGATCTCCTGGGCCTCATCCGCCTGTTTCGCCGCACTGGGCGGTATGTAATCCTTGGGCAGCAGGTGACTCACATCCCCGTTTGCAAGGGGCAGAAGTAGGACCAAAAAAGCCCATAGCTGCATCATCTCGAGGTGGTGGTCCGGCTTTATCTCTGGGAGCTTCCACGGCTTCCACGGTAACTATGTGGCCACGGGCCCCGAAATCCGCACTTATAAGACAGCTGATTATATAAATCGCGGCCCGCTCATTTCACTTTCCCATTCGACGAACGGAAATTGACTTTGCATCACAGCACAAAAGGTTCCATAAATAGTCGCCGATCTGTGGATCGAAGGTGCGAGGGGAAGTGCCAAAATTGAACTATAAAAATTAATTTGGCGGCCGGATTTTACATAAATAAAATAAGACACCGATATCGGAGTGCCAAATTTAGCATTGAAAAGGTGCGAAAGAAAGAAACACAAATATACGATTATTTACAGGTTACAATTCAGTGATGGTGAACCCATGAACTCTTAGTCGAAAACAAATGACAACTTTAAAGCATTTGTCAGTGTTGATTAGGCACAAGAAAAACACCGAAAAACTGGCACAATATTTAGTAACTGAAAGGGGAATAAAATTAGTTTAGGTATGGATTATTTAAAAAAAATATAATGTGGAATCTATGAATTGGGAATAACGGTGTTGAATAAGTCAGATTGAAGCAAATAAGCTAATAAGCTTTATTTAATTAAAGCTTTTTTTAAAATTAGCAGAAAAGCTGCGAAATAAGTTAGTATCAACTTCCAAGTTTAATCAAAGCTCTAAGAGAAAGCACAATGGGTTAATCAAAGCTTTGCGTTACATTTGATATTAAGCCATAGATAACACCAAATTTCAGTGTTGTTGGCGTTCGTCTACAACACAGCTGAGTACGCTGAATGCAAGAAGGAAAATAATGGACTCAAAGAAACACTTAAATATTACATTAGTTATTGATGCCACTCGAAAGAATATGTACTTGTTTTATTGGTTTCAGTTTAAGCTAGCTTAAGAAGTAAGAGCTATTTTGGACAATGATTTAATGTTTATGGTCTGCTGTGACTAAGGAAGAAGTAAGAACAAAACAAAACCAAAACAAGAATAGAAAATATATTTGGCAAGCCAAACCGCATAAAATAGTTTATTTTTGTCTAAAATTCAAATCCGTATTTTCCATCCTAAAATATCGGTAACAAAGAAAGTAATGATCCAAATATGGAATGTCGTACCTTGTTGAACTCGTGATTTAATTCCCTAACGATTGGCATTCAAACCTAGAAATTTTTAAATGTTGTCATTTTTTGCAAAAAATTGTGAGTAACCCCTTATCAAAAATGCGAAAATTGGTCAAAAAATTAATTTCCAAGAAAGTGATGGGATTCGTTAGTACAGGTCGTTAGCTGTTCAAAACAGTTGGTCTTTTAGCTGTAGACCTTGAATTGTCCAAGCTACGACTTAAAAACCATAAAAAAGGACTTTTTTTTGTCGAAACTTCGAATCCATATTTTTCACCCTTAAATATCAGTTCTTTGGTCGTAACAATGGAAATAAAGATCCCAATATGGAGTGTCATGACTCGATGAGCTCGTTATTAAATTCCCAATCGATTGGCATTCAAACCGGAAACCTTTTATATATGACCACTTTTCGCTAAAAATGATGAACCAAATAATTAAAAAATGGAAAAAAACTATTATCTTGGTTACTATTTGTTAAGTGTCGACTTCATCAATTCCCAACCCTTATTTCAAATACATATTTCTTTGGATTATTGTTTTTTCTTTTAATTTTCATTGTTAACAAAGTTTACAATACGAAAAAAAAATATTGATGGTGAATTTTGGGGGCAGTATGTAGTTATTTACACTGTTTCGTATTCAGTTCAGCATCCTCTGATTTCGATTTCGAGTCGCTTACTTCCTGTAGACATAGCCGCCGTTGGAGGCGTACTGGGTGCCCACATCCACGGAGGCAGGAGCGGAGTAGCTCACCGAGGGGGCGGCGTAGCTGACGGCAGGGGCGGCGTACGACTGCTGGACAGCAGGGGCGGAGTAGCTCACCGAGGGGGCGGCGTAGGTCTGCTGGACGGCAGGGGCGGAGTAGCTGACCGAGGGAGCGGAGTAGCTGACCGAGGGAGCGGCGTAGGTCTGCTGGACAGCAGGAGCGGAATAGCTAACCGAGGGGGCAGAGTAGCTAACCGAGGGGGCGGAGTAGCTGACCGAGGGGGCGGAGTAGGTCCTCTGGACGGCCGGGGCGGAGTAAGTCCTCTGGACGGCAGGAGCGGAGTAGGTCTGCACGGGCGGCAGGTACTCGCTGCTGGGGGCCGAGTAGGTCTGCTGGATGGCAGGGGCGGAGTAGGTCTGCTGGACGGCAGGGGCGGAGTAGCTCACCGAGGGGGCGGCGTAGGAGTTCTGGAGGGGCGGCAGGTACTCGTTGCTCAGGTGGCTCACATCGGCGGCCACGCAGGCGAACAGGGCGAAGGCAACGAGGAATTTCTGCAAGTAGGATATAACACACAATTCACATTAACACATTATAGGGCACAAGCAAAAAATTCAAATAATATTATACGTATTTTTTTTTTGATATTTCTTTTTTTTTTTAGTTATATAATCCTTCACTGACCATGTTGATTGAAAGTGGATTTTTGAAGCGACTGTGCTGGATGAGCTAGAGGCTGCGACTGATGCCGGTCCCTAGAGCGGGCTTTCAATTTATAGCGGCCGGCCGGTCCAAAGAAAAGCCCCGGTTTCTGAGCTCAGCTGGGCTCAGCTGCAGCGGCAGATGGTGAAGATGGGAAGACGGTAAGGCGGTAAGACGGCAAGGAGGAGGCTGAAACCACCAGCGGACCAAGAAGAAGAAGTCGCCACCATAAATTCAAGACAAACAGCAGCGGGCGGGGCCCCAGAGGTGCCTGAAGTTCAGACACAATTTGACAGCTAACTTGTTTGTAAACCACAATTTTTAAATTCTAACAAATTAGAAAAGTGGTAGAAAATATTTCAAGCAAATGCAGAAAAATATGTAAAATATATGCAATCAAAGTAAATACTAAATTCATTTATGTAAAATTTTTTTGCATAAAAAATTCTAAATTTTACACATCTTGGAGGAATATACAATTTATGTTATGTATTTAAATATTAAATATTTCAATAGGGCGATGAAAAAAAAATGTGCCTAATTTGATATACCTTAATTTAAACACAATTTGTTTGTTTAGCAATTTTTCATATTTTATAAAACTAGAATTTAAATTTAAAGTACAAAACTCTATAATTTGTTTGTCAGTTTAATATTTAAAGTTTAATATTTACATAAGGCGAACAAAATATTAAAATTTTATTGAATATAAAAAAACAAAACAAATCATTGGCGAAAACTCTAATATTTTCATATTTAGTGTGCAAAGGTCAAGATGGCATACAAATAATTTTAGTTTAAAAAAAAAAACCTAATAAATAATATTTAAAGTAAAAATGACTTTTCGGTTAGTATTTAAAGTTAATTATGTAAGTGCCATTTTGACCTTTTCACACAAGCCAAAAATATGACACAATTCTCTATCGTTTTAAATATGCATGTGGCACAAAGGCTCGTTAAAATAATAATAACCATATTTTTGGGAGATTGAAAACAATAATTAATTAATAATTTACACTCCAATCCACCCACATTGTTTTACTGGAATTTGGCAATAAAATGGCTAAAAGGGCAACACTAATCGGGGCGGGGGTAAAAAAAATATATAAAGCAAAGCTAGCAAACGGAAAATGACATAAAAATTAAATTTAACATAAAACCAAACGAAATCGCACACGCAAAACGGGTTTGTCTCATTTACAATACTTATACTTATACCTATATTATTTTTCCATCGACGCAACGGGTTTTGGTTTTCGTCGGCGGGTGAACTACTTTGGGACACCTTTTTCGTGGGGTCTTCAATCAAGCTTCCCGAGGGGAACAAAGACTGGGGGTTCCACTAATTAACATTCAATTTAACACATTATAGGCAACGCAACCTTTTCTCGTTTTAGCCACATTGCGGTGGTTAAGCGTTAAAGTTAACCGCAGAAATGGGCCAGAAAGAGATCCATTTCTCAGATCTCTGGTCTCAGATCTCTGGCCTCGTCCGAGACACTCGTCTAGATTGATGGCCCCCACAGAATGTCGTGTGTTCGGAAACAGATCCACCACTCGCACTTTCTAAAAAGCCATAAACATATACTTAAAGCCATCTGAGAAGCCGGCAGAAGACGGCCTTGAGAACAGAGCCGACGTAGAGTTACGAGTTCCCGAGCGGTCTTTACATAATAAGCAACAACTTTTACTCCCGATGCCATGCCACATCTTGCGTCCGCCAGGGGGCAACCCTGAACTTGAATTGAAATGCAGCGATCATTAACGCACGAAAGGTGCACCCAGAAAAATCGTATATCAATATTTCAGCACAGTAATAACAATAAATTGCGGTACTTGGAAACGGTAAACTTCCAATTGCTGAATTAATCATTCTTAAGCGAAAATCATCAACAACTTTGTAACTATACAGCATAAATACTTTACAGATCATAGCGGAAATTTATAACCGGTCCACAGTTAAAATCCATTTTTATATACAATACAGATTCCAAATGCTGAATTACCTTCATATGCTGAATTATTTTTCAGTGTGGCCGTAAATCAAGTCTTAAAAGGCCGGCAACGCCAAGCATGACGACAAGTTGATGCAAGTTTAAGAGTTAATGGACTGCAGTTGGGGAATTCAACATGACCATTCCGAGAACTACAAATTGCGGGAAATGATGACCCCAAAGCAGGTATTTCGAAACAGTTAAAAGGAAACTAACGGGCTTAAAGGCAACTATTAAATGCTCAGATATTTCCCAGAAAAATATAAATATTAGTAGATACCATGTTTTTAAAAAAAATACATATATATTTATAGTAAATAGATTCTGGGGCTCTTAATAACTAAGCTTAGTAGACATAACCTCCGTTAGAGGCGTACTGGGTATCCTGACCTCCCAGTAAATGGGCAGGCGTGATGGTGTCCGCACCAATGGCCACGGGCACATGGGTCTCGGGATTGAACTCCTCGATGCCATTAGAGGCGGGCTCCTCGTAGAGATGGGCAGGAGTGATAGTGTTGGCTCCAATGACGGTGGGCGCCTGTCCCTGGACGTAGGCGGCGATCAAATTGGCGGGCTGGTGGCCTTGGACAACAACGGACTGGTATTCAGCGGGCTGATAAGAGCTTGAATCTCCTCCGGGAACAACTGTCTCCTGCTGCTGCTGCTGCTGCTCCTGGACGTACTTGTAGTGCGCCTCTCGATCGGCCTGGGGAATAAACTTCTCGGGGGTGTAGCTATCAGCGCCAATAGCAGCAGGAACTGGTGCATAAGTATTGGCTCCAATCGCAGCTGGAACAGAGGCCTTAAGATGAACGGGAGTGTATTCAGCAAGTTGATAGGAGCTCGAATCTCCACCAGGTACCACTTCAGCAGCAACAGCGGCAGAAGAGGACTGCTTGAGATAAGCAGGAGTGTATTCAGCGGGTTGGTAGGAACTAGAATCACCTCCAGGGACGACCTCAGCGGCCTTGAGATGGGTGGGAGTGTATTCAGCGGGCTGATAGGAGCTAGCGTCGCCACCAGGAACAACCTCAGCAGCAACAGCGCCAGAAGAGGACTGCTTCAGATAGGCAGGAGTGTATTCAGCGGGTTGGTAGGAACTAGAATCACCTCCAGGGATGATTTCAGCAGTCTTGAGATGGGCGGAAGTGTATTCAGCGGGTTGGTAGGAACTATCGTCGCCACCAGGAACAACCTCAGCAGCCTTCAAGTGCTCGGGAGTGTATTCAGCGGGTTGGTAGGAACTAGAATCTCCTCCAGGGACGACCTCAGCGGCCTTGAGGTGGGCGGGAGTATATTCAGCGGGCTGATAGGAGCTAGCGTCGCCACCAGGAACAACCTCAGCAGCCTTCAAGTGCTCGGGAGTGTATTCAGCGGGTTGGTAAGAGCTTGAGTCTGCACCAGGAGCATCCTCAGCAGAAAAAGTGCCAGAAGAGGACTGCTTCAGATAGGCAGGAGTGTATTCAGCGGGTTGATAGGAGCTAGAATCACCTCCTGGGATGACCTCAGCCGATTTCAAGTGCTCGGGAGTGTATTCAGCAGGCTGGTAGGAGCTGGAATCACCTCCAGGGACGACCTCTGCAGCCTTGAGATGGGCGGGAGTGTATTCAGCGGGTTGGTAGGAACTAGCGTCGCCTCCAGGAACAACCTCAGCAGCCTTCAAGTGCTCGGGAGTGTATTCAGCGGGTTGGTAGGAGCTAGCATCACCACCTGGCACTACTTCCGAGGAAGAAGATGAAGAGGAGGATGCGGACGAAGAGGCGGAGAGTCCATAGCCTCCATCGGCGGACAGGCCCAACTTGAGGTGACTGACGTCAGCGGCGACGAGGCCGACAAAGGCCAAAGCAAAGACGTAGAACTTCTGCAGGCGGAGCAAGTAGATAGGGATTAGAGGGTGAGATGGGTGCGGTGAAGGAAGTATTCAGGTGGTTCCCCCTAGAACCTAAACTTACCATGTTTGAAACGAGTCTGTTGATCTGAAGAGGGACGTTTCAGGTTTTTATACCCACAAAAGATTATGGGCCTATGCTAATTGGAGTTTTGTTTTGATCTCCGCTTGATTTGGTTCCAACCGAAATTTCTGTCTGCCCATCTGCCTGTTTTTTTCTATATTTTATATTTTTTATTTATTTTTTTTTGGGTTTGCAAATTTGCATAGGTAGCATAACAAAAGTGCCGATCTTATCAACTTGATTAGAACCTCGGAGGGTTCGAGCGCCTTGGCCTTACCGTCAATTAAACTGTCGTCTGGCTGGTACACAGCGAGAAAAATATTACTAACCGTCACTGAATAATTATATAATTATTATATAATAAACTTATAAAATGTTCTTGGTTGCTTTAAAAAGTTTTATGAGCGTTTCCAGGCAATAGAATTTTATTTTTATCATAAGACACTATTTTTTCTGCCTGTGTAGGACTCCATCCTTCCAATGGCTCGCTAAATGGAGTTATTGATTAGCGCCTGACAAGTTCACTGGGGTGGTGTCATAATCGGCTTGGTCCGGCAACCAGTTTGCCGTCTTTGGCCAAGAGTCTTAAATCTGCCAATGAATCTGCTAATTGGGCTTGGGGAAATCAATCGATGGATGCTTAAACTCGCACTGATGCCGCCTATTAGGAGATGCTCGATCAAAATACTACCACTTTTGGCTTTTTACGGCACGAGAACGGACTCGTTGCATACCCCGCAAAAGTCAAGTAATAAAGCCAAAATAAAGTGGGTATCATTTTAATTCATTTTAAGTGATTCAGTGTGCCAACTAAATATATCCAGTTTATAATTAGTTACGCCAACTTTGGGCAACCGTGCTGAATGAATTATCAAAAACAACCTTTATATAAAGTTTCAGCTTACATTTTATGGATGAATTTATGCGCTTAAAAAAGAGTTCGGCTGATTTTATGGCTATCATTCGGTGAAATTAGCTTGGCTTAATAAATTTACTGATATTCATAATGGACGTGCAAAATCTGCAGCCAAGATCAGCAGAAGTGGAGCATTTCAATGGGTTTTTAGTGGTTGCTTGCTGCCTCATTTGACCACTCACGGAAATCTAGAATAATTAAGGAACATTGAACTGGGTGGAAGCATTCAAAACTCGTTTATGCCAAATCGGATTTTTGTTTACTGATTTGTTTTGTCAAAAAAGATGAAAATAGATGGTCTGTCAATGGAGCTTATAACTTAATTGTATGAAAAATGACCAAATAAATATGTTTGAAGTTATTAATGGTGGCGCTATATAAATGCTAATAATATAATTCCTTAATTAGTTATTATAAGTAATATCAATTAAATAAAGTGTTTCAAAATTATCAAAAAATAATAAATCAAATATCTATGTATATCAAGGGTTATCCCATATAGTTGCAATCAATTTGCACCATTTGAGTGACTTGAAATTGTTAATATAATTAATTCGTAGTCATAATTTGCATACCTATGCTAATGAGTGAACTGCTTTTCAAATATTTTGATTGAAGTTTATTTATGATAATAATATATATGTATCTGTGGGTAAATTTAGATGAACTTAGAAAAATTCTTTTTTTGGTATTTATAACATTAAATTAAGAAACTTTCCAGAAATTAATTGAATTTATACACAAAATCTATAGTGATTGTGATAAAAACATGATTGCCTATAAAGATTAACTTAATTAAGGCTTCTTATTTAAATAAATGTAAAATTAGCATAACTTTTTTAGCCTGTTTCTTAGCATTTCTTTTCTTATTTTTACAAATTTATTCGGGTTATTTTGAAGAGCTTTGTTTTGATCAGATTTTTTTTTACAGACCCTCATCCTTTGACGTCCAACTTTTAGCTCTAAAATATCTGGAATTATATTTTTAGAGAATGCAAATTTTGTAGGTCTGGCCAATGTTTTTGGCCAAAAACCGACTGTCTGTTCAGACCGAATTAAGTGTGAATCACCCAAAGTGGCGGAGAATCTTCGGCGACTGCCAAACTTGTTTTGAACATTAACAGTAGGCCTGAAAATAGTCTTTGCCTTGTCTGGAGTCCAGTTTTTATTTGCTTTGTTGGCTTTACGTCGGTTTAATTATGAAAATTTATGCTTTGAGTGCTGTAATTAAAAAAGAAGAACACAATAAAATACAAGCTTTAAATATATATTTATGGCCTTTATGTAAAACAAATGTCAGAGTCTGTCCGAAAATCAGGTTGAGCGACTAAAGATTTATAATTATGGCTAGATTTTAAGTTTATATTCTTGGATATATATATTTGTTTTCGTTCTTTCTCTTTTGTTGCCAAACAATAGATCAAGTTTGAACGAATGTCTTTATGTAGGTATACTTATGTACATTTATTGATATTGATTAAGCATTGGTGAGTCAAACTTGTTGGTGACTTAACAGGGGTGTGGATCTCATCAGATGGGAGATCTTAGCCCTCAATTATTTTCGATTGTAGAAAAAGAAAAACCTACACCTACAAAAAAAAATCGTTTAAATAAAAACAGTTTGTAGTTTTTCAGTTTTCAGACTTAATTTGTAAAACAACTTCAAAATTAAAAAAAAAAAAATTAAATTTGAGATATATTTGTAATAAGATGTCATTACAGTTAAAAAATTTTTTTTTGTCATTTTTTCCTCTGTACTAGGTATATGTTCCACACACTTTCGGTTTCAACTCTGATATAGTTGATTCTTCTCTGGTAGCCGCCGGGGCTTTTCAAATATTTGTGCAGCTCGCTTGTTTGAGGATGGCAAACGTTTGCCCGGGGTCTCGTCTCGGCCCTCGGCAGCGGCCAAAAAACAATTGCGGAACCAGCGACAAAAGCGACAAATTGTTTGGCCCAACAGCAACAACACTGCGAACAGAGGCTGGACCCCTTTTACACCTCGAAACCCCCTCCCCCCTTTCGGGGGTACACATGCATGTAGTACACACTTATTTGCCATGTATTTTGGCCACGTCTTGAGTCTTTTTAGCCGCCAGCGATCGTTATGAGCAAAAATACGACGCTTAAATAAGACAGGCACGGTGAGCTCTTAAATAACGTTTGCCAAATTGCATTTCTGTTTAGGATTTTGTAAAACGCTATTTGCATGTTGTGCAGATGCTCTTGGGCAACTCCCATTTGGCGATCTTCGGACGTGGGCGTGTATAAAGCCCGCATCAGAATCTTCAATCTGATCCGTAAATCATAAGTTGGCATTGCAAATTTATAAGTGGAAAAGAACATTAATCTAATGGCCCACACCATATGAAGTTAATTAATTAATAATAATATTGTCAGCACTTCGGTGTGAAAAATGATTATTTATAAGATTTATTTATATTACTATTTTTGGTTAATATATTATATATTAATAATATCAAGTAAATAAACCCTAACTTCCCTTTGTGGCTCACCGTATCGAAAGCATTTCAAGTGGCGACTGCGCCCCTACATTAGCATTCATAATTCCGCCACTCAACTCAAGTTGCTCCACTGTTTGTCAAATTCTAGCATTTTCTGAGGCATTGCAAATATATGTTGAAAACTCAATGTTAGATCAGCATGAATGTAAGACGCATTATTTGTTCCGTAAATTCCCAGAGATTTGCCGAAAGGCAAACAGCTTCACGGCTTAATTAGCCAGGTAAACAGGTAAACACAATGAGAAGCGCATAGAACGGCGCTCGCAATTTGTTAAGCGTTTGTCATTCGCGGTGACCGCCTTTCGGGTGTGGAAAATGTGCTGAGGCTCAGAAAATCCAAAACCGGGAAACTCAGTCACAGTTGTGCTGATGTTTTTGGGATGCTACTTAATTAAATTTCCAAATACTACTTCAAAAACGACGGCGATCAATCGAAGGCGAAGGCTTTATGGCCGGCGAGATCTTATTACTTGTTTGATTACTTGCCAAAAAATGAGGTGGTTAAATTCGGTTCGCAGACCCTGACCTTCTCGCCAAGTGCGAAACGTGTCAGAGTCCAAGACGAAATGGAATTAAAATTTTAATCATTGTTTTTACGGCCATAATCGCGCGAAAGTGAAGGGCGATCGAAGGAAGTCGTCTGCTGAGATCAGTCAAATGGGTAAATAGTAGATAGTAGGTGGTAGCTTTACGACCAGAGCGCGCTAATTAAAATTAAATTCGTATTGAAAGCGAAATTAGCCCACAATTGTGTTGTGCACAGTTCGCACTTCGAACAAAGAAACTTCTTTCTTGGCGGCAAGATATATTTGATTTGCCCGCCCAATAAAGCCATCATGGTGACATCTTCCATAAACTAAGGGGATCTTGAAACTGGACCCCGAAACAAGTTATGGAAGTGAAAAACCACTTTTGCGATCGCGTAATTCGCCCGTAATTACAAAATCAAGTTTACCATGCGACACTTGAGATGCCCCCTGATTGGCATAATTAGTGGCATTTCTGCTGTCATCGGTGATTGTGTCGCGAAATGTCATTCAATTTGTCAAATGATTTTACGATCGCTCTGCGAGAGATCTGCGCAATTGGGTGAGTCGAATCGGAAAATGATTGGCAGCTGTGGGAAACCGAAGCAAATAGATTTTAAGAGCTATTCTTACATATAGACTATGGATTTTATTATTTATTTATATATTGATTTTCTAACTTTGCAATTTTGGGGATTTTTTGGTGTTTTATTTTTCCCCCAAAAACCACAAAAAGAGCTTATTAGCTTGGGACACTGAATGTAGTCATAGATGACTGCATAAGTTTGGCCCAAGATCGCAAAACTAATATTTGTTGTTATTTTTATTTATTATACCTTAAAGCTGTTGTCTGAATATCCTACTTTTCATGTATTTTTGTAAACACCTTTTAATATTTTTATTCTTTTTTAATTATTTGTTTTTAAAGATATTGTCTCAGTCCCAATTTTATTTATATCTTTTATCTTTAATAATTTATTGTTTTTGTGACTCAATTTTATTTGATTGTTATTAAATTTCTGTAATATTTTTTGTCCTCATATTTAAATTCTTCATTATTAAATAAAAAGTAGTTTAAAATTTGAAAGAGCATTCACTCT